AGTTGGAACATTAAGGAGTGTGCTACCCACCTACACCACACACACACATGCACACACACACACACACACACACACACACACACACACACACACACACACGACCCAGGAAATTGGTTCCTGAGAGATTTAAACAAGATCACCTTCCTTTACCTACTAACATCAATAGCAACAGTAAAACTCAAGCCTGGGCTCAGGCTCACTCAACCGTCAGCTTAACCCTGACCCTCCTAGCAAGGGGCTCAGAAAAGGGGTGCCCTTTTCCACCCACAAAAACCCTTTTAAAATCCAACCTCTACTATCTTACGTCGGAGGGCAGTCATCTTGGTCTTGTAGTTGGCAAAGGACAGGCGGGCGTTACAAATACTTTTCCCGGCTTCTGCCGCATCTACCAATACTTCTGCTCTTCTCTCTTTGAGGTCTTCCTTGATCGCATCTCTGCACTGCTTTGCGAGCTCGGACGTTAGCTTGCAGTTGCCTGAGGCATGCGCCAAACCACGCTGGTGAATTAGCTCAAGAGTTTTCGAAGATAGGCGATTTTTTGTGGCTATCTCTCTCTTGGCGTTCCTCGCACATTCATGGAGGTGCTGAACCAGTCGATCGTATTCCTCGTCAATGTTGTCAACAATGGCATCTTCCCATGTTGCCTCAATAGTACCAAAGAGTTCCCAGTTGGTGGTCGTTCTGGGAGTTCTCTTTTTGAACTTTGCAGCCCTTTCTCCCCACTCTGTGAAGTAGAATTTTGCACGAAGGAGACGGTGGTCCGATCCCGTTCGAAATTTTGGGACAACAGCGACATCAGTCAGGCAAAACCATCGATTGAATATGATGTGGTCTATTTCGTTGTGGAATCATCCACCGGGAGACTCCCATGTCCATCGTTTAGATTCTGCCTTCTGGAACTGTGAGTTACCATGAATGGTCTTGGTCGACATGATGAACTCAGACAGTCTCTCACCCTGTTCGTTCCATTCTAGGCCATGGGTCCCGATGTGAAGTTCTTCAGCTGATCTTCTCGGTCCTATCTTGGCATTAAAAGCACCCACAATGATCTTGAAGAAGATGTGGTCTTCTTTATAGAACTTCTCTAGCTCCATGTAGAACTTCTCGATTTCTCTTTCATCATAATGAGATGTTGGTGCGCAGACAACGAAGATAGAAACTGCAGGCAGTGAGCCACATCTATTCAAATGTAAACATCCGATTCGGGTTGTTAGGGATTCGAATGAATCAATGCTCTTGGCCAAGTTTGTGTTGACAAGGACACCAACGCCTCCAACACCTCTTTTATCGCATGTTCCGAGGAACAATTCTTCTCCAGTGTCGAAAACGGCATGGTGAGATTCGTGCCTTCTTGTCTCAGTCAGACCAATGATGTCGTACTTGATCATTCACGCTTGTACCATCAGGTCCTCGATGGATGCATCTGATGCTAGCGTACGTGCATTGAAAGTACAGACGATCATTTTTGTCTTCCTTCATTGTGGCAGCCTAGGTCGGCCTTGAGATTTTGTCGGCCTCTCCTTTCTCATCCTTCTCAGTGCTGCCATGTCGGTGAAGCCTTCAGGATCAGGTGAATGAGACCAGTTGTAGTTACTGGTTTTGGCATATCGAATACCAGGATGTGGATCCATCACATCCTCCAGAATGGCATTGGAGAAGATTATCCATGACTTCTACTCAAATCTCTTTGATAGCCATGTCCACTTGCCGACATACCAAATTCCACAGGATGGATATGTCGTTCCCAACGTTCTCCCTTCCGAAATCCGACACGCCATTTCGTCAGTAAAGAAACAAACAGCACCCGGCCCAGACAAGGTCAGACCTGAACACCTGAAGAACCTGCCATCAGTACTCATCAATACACTGGCTCAGCTCTTCACTCGCTACCTGTCTGAATGCAAGGTTCCGTCCCAATGGAAAACCAGCAGGACCGTACTACTGTTCAAGAAGGGAGACATCCATGACATTGGCAACTATCGCCCGATCTGCCTGTTGTCTGTCATCTACAAGTTGTTCACTCGAGTCATCCTAAATAGGATTAGCAGAACACTAGATGAAGGACAACCATGCGAGCAAGCAGGGTTCCGCAAAGGATTCAGCACCATCGACCATATCCACACGATAACCAAGCTCATTGAGGTTTCTCAGGAGTTCAAGATGCCGCTCTGTTTAACGTTCATTGATTTAAAGAAGGCCTTTGATTTTGTTGAGACGGAAGCGGTCATTGAAGCCCTAGCCAATCAGGGCATTCAAGCCCAATACATCAGGATCCTCCGGGAGCTATATTGCGGATTCACTACCAGGATCTCACCATTCTACAAAGAAGTGATCGTTGATGTCAAGAGAGGGGTGCGGCAGGGTGATACCATTTCACCGAAACTCTTCAGTGCCACCCTCGAGAATGTCATGCAACGACTGGAATGGGAAGGAATGGGAGTGAAGATAGATGGTCGGCAACTATACCACCTCCGCTTTGCTGATGACATTGTTTTAATAACACCAAACATCAGTCAAGCGGCACAAATGCTGGCCGACTTTGACCGTGTGTGGAAAGGTAGGACTACAGCTGAATCTTACGAAGACAATGTTTATGAGAAACAGCCTCGTTCCTGACGCCCCATTCGCTGTCAATGGAACGACCATCTCCGAATGCAACAGCTATGCGTACCTAGGTCGAGAGGTCAACATGACAAATGACCTGGGACCTGAGCTGCGCAGGAGGAAGAGAGCGGCTTGGAACACCTTCAAGAACGTCGAAGAAATAGCTAAGAGGATGAAGAACCTCCAGCTCCAGGCAAATCTCTTTGATTCCACTGTTCTTCCTGCATTAACATATGCCTCAGAGACCTGGGCCCTACGCAAACAAGATGAGAACGCTATTCAGGTCTCCCAAAGAAGAATAGAAAGAGCTATGCTTGGAATATCACGTTTCACTCAAATGAGAGAAAGAATCCGGAGTTCTGACATCCGTCGACGATCAAGAATCAGGGACACTGTCTCATTTGCCAAGGTGTCAAAAATCAGATGGGCTGGTCACGTAATGAGATTTAAAGACGACCGCTGGACTAGAGCTGTTACTGACTGGATTCCACGGGATGTCAAAAGACCACGTGGCCGCCCACCTACCAGATGGTCAGACTTCTTCGTCAAGATCATGAACGATCGGTTTGAGGTCCTTCATGTTCCGGAGCGAACAGATGCCATTGGGCAACACTAGCACGCGACAGGGACAAATGGAGATGTTACTGGCACCCGCTCGAGCAAATCGACGACTAACGGGAAGTTAAGTGATTAAGTGACTATCTTACACTGGATAACACCCAAACTTTCAAAGCATAACCAACACAAAAAAGAGAGCAATTTTAAGAACCAGACTGGGCTACCACACAACTCTCGGGACTGTCCAATGAGGAACGCAAAGTTGCTGACTAGAACCAGCGAGAGCGCAAGCAGTGGGTCCCCGGTCTGACCCCAGCACCACTAGGTGTGGCCCCTACTGGAATAAAATGATAAAAGCTCTATTAAAAAGAGCAACATAGGGTCCCAAGAGCAGATAGGGTACAAGCAGATAGGGTACTTGCACACAGCTGACCCAAGTTCAATCCTGGGTACCTCATATTTGTACCCAAGCCCCGCCAGGAGTGATCTCTGAGCATAGAGCCAGGAGTAAGCCTTGAGGACTGCCGGGTGTGCCTTGGCCCCCAAAAAATAAATACACAAGGTCAGATGTGTAATTCAGCAAAAAGATGGGAACAAAGTTGGAGTGATCATATCGCAGGTTAAGGTGCTTGCCTATCACACAGCCAACCTGGGTTCAATGTCCTATACCACTTATGGTTCCTCAAGCCCTGGTATGAGTGACCCCTGAATACCACTGAGTATCTCCCACGCCAAAAATAAAGTTGCCGGCTGACGCGATAATACAGCAGGTAGGGAGTTTGCCTTACACGAAGCTAACCCGGGCTCCATCCCCAGCATCCCATATGGTCCCCTAAAGCCCGTCAAGAGTAATTCCTGAGTGCAGAGCGAGCATCGCCAGGTGTGACCCAACACCGCCGCCCCTCCCAAAAAATAAACCCCCTGAGCACCGAAGGATGTACCCAAAACCAAAACAGAACGAAAAAGAATGATGAGGAATTCAGGGGGCCTTGCCTAAAAGCGATTGGGTGAGGTTATCTTAGTACAATAGGGGTGTGACCAGGTGAATAGGTGTCTGGAGAAAAAGAACTCTACTAGGGGATAAGAGGAAGATCAAACACTTGACCATCCCAAAGCTCCCTTTGGGTGAGCAGCCAGATTTGTCTGATTCAGAGGGCGCGGGACAACCTCATGGGCTGTGAACGGCTCCTCCTGGTTCTGCTAATCCCCGAAGTCTTGTGAGCAAGTGAAACCGGAGGATAAAAAAAATCCTTCGTAAAACAAAGAGTTCGCGGGCCGGAGGCTTAGGAGAGCGGGTAGGGCGTTTGTTTGCCTTGCACCCGGCCCACCCGGGTTCGATCCTCGGCATCCCAGACAGTCTCCCGAGCTCTGCCAGGAATGACTCGTGAGTGCAGCGCCAGGAGTCACCCCTGAGCACTCCCGGCTGTGGGCCCAAAACAGAAAAATAAACAAACCAAATAACCCAACTGTTCCATACTTGGCAGTATGCGAAGCCTATTTCCAGTAACTCTGAGCAGGAAACTTTTATCCTCATCAGATAAGAAAAGGATACGGGGTGACAGACCCAGCCTGCCTACAACACCGGGTCAAAACCGGACAGGCTCTGCAGTCCCCACAGCGCTCCCGGCCGCGACCCGGGTCAGCGAGCTCGCCCGGGGCGCCGGGTTCCCGCCCCCGCACCGAGCCGCTGCGGGTCACACGCGGCGCGGGGCGGGGCCTGCGAGGACTGGGCCGGCGGGCTGGCGGGTCACCGACGGATCGGGGGTGGGGCCTGCGAGGAGGGGCGGGGCCTGAAGGTCACGTGCGGCGCGGGGGCGGGGCCGGCGGGGTGCTGCGCGCAGGCGCGCCGCAGGCGGACGGAGCCGAGCCTGCCGGGCCGTGCGGGCGCTGGGTCCCGGGGGCCGCCGCCGCCGCCGCCGCCGCCGCCGCGTCCGGTCCATTCCGTCACCAGCCGGGGCTCGGGCCCGGGCCCGGGCCCCCGGGGCATGGCCCTCCGGAGCGCTCAGGGCGACGCCTCCACCTCCAGCCGCTGGAGCGGCGGCTCCGAGAAGACAGGTACGGAAGCCGGCCGGGGCGCGCCGGAGCGGCCTGCCCGAGGGGCCCGCGACAGCTGTCGGGCGGCGGGGCCGGGCCGGGCGAGGCCGAGGGGGGCCGGGCTTCTGTCGGTGGGGGCGCGGGACGGCGAGCGGTCCTTCGGAGAGGGGTCCGTGGACGCGCCCGCGTCCCTGCGGGGAGGACGGGGCGGGGTCTCCCGGACCCCCGCCCGCGCCCGGCCCGAGGACGTGGCCCTCGGGAGCGTCCGCTCCGTCGCCGCCGCCGTCCGCCCCGGCCCCGCAGCCCCGGCTCGCCCCCGAGTTTGCAGGTCACTTGGCTACGTGAACGAACGGCGGGCGACCCGATGTTGTCCCTGCTTTTCCTGTGTCCCGCTCGCGCGAGAGGGCGGGCGGCGGGAGATGAGTTGGCCCCGCGCGTGGCGGTCGCCCCGAGGGGGTCCTGACGCGCTCCGGGCACCGCGCGGGTCGTGTTTCCTGGTTCTTTTTGTTTGTTTGTTTGTTTCCTCTCCATATCCCTGGGTGGAAGTGGAGCTTAAGTGCCCCCCTTGTTGACAAAGAGAGACCCTTTGGCATTGTCACCCTTTCCGGGTGATTGTGAGCTGTCTGCCCTCGTGGCATCATAGTGGCCCTGAAGGTGGGGGTCTTGTCACTTGCTGAGGCTTGACGTCCCCCCCCCCCCCGCCCCAATCCCCACTTTTCATCGTTTTTTTTTTCTTGCTTCTCTGGATGAATGGTGGATGAATGGGGGACCGATTAGCCATAAGTTTTAGGAGTGGGTTTTTTGGGGGGAGGAGGGGTTTGGGTTTGCCCTCTCATTAATCATATTGAAGAATTGATTGACAGAGTTCAGACGCTCCTTTGTAGAGTTCCTCATCAGCCCCGTTTGCTCTGAGATTGTTCCCCCCGGGTTGGGGGAAAGCGGTCTTTTTTTTTTTTTTTTTTTGGGTTTGTGTTTCAAGTAGCACTCTAGCACTGTCATCCCGTTGTTCATCAGTTTGCTCCAGCGGGCACCAGTAACATCTCCATTGTGAGACTTGGTGTTACTGTTTTTTGGCATATCTAATAAGCCAGGGGTATTTCAAGTAGTTAATGAGTTTCTCCTAATTTGAGTGCTGTTTGTTGAATCTAGCCAGGGCCATCCTGAACAGAGGCTACTTTGTTGTACTTTGTTTTTTAATAGGAACTTGCTGGGAATCAGGTAAAGTTTTCCTCTTTGGCTTGGCTAGTCCTCCATTATCAGATAATCTGCTGTTCAGATTCCCAGTGTCATCCTCAGGAAGGAGTGGGATCACGGCGGTAGGGGTGTCTGTGTAAGGGACATCAGTTTGTCTCTCACTCTTTACTGACCAGCTGCAACACTTGTATTTTGGTGTTTGGACTACACCCAGTGATGCTCAGAACTTAATCCTGGTGGGACTTGGGGGACCGCATGGGGTTCCAGGGCCTTGCAAGACAAACGTCTCCTTACTAGCGCCATCTCTCTGGTCCCTCTTGCATTGTTTCTGATTAAGGTAATCGCTGATTATTCTGAGCTTAACTTCTGTTTAAATATTGTGAAAACTTGGGGCTGGAGAGATAGCACAGTGGGTAGGGCGTTTGCCTTGCATTGCCCGTGGCCGACCTGGGTTCGATTCCCAGCATCCCATATGGTCCCCTGTGCAATGCCGGATGTGACCCAAAAGCAAAAAATAAATAAATAAAAATTGGAAAGCTTTCTTTGGGGGGAGGGGGCATACCCTCCTGGGCTCAGGGCTGACTCCTGACTCTGTACTCAGAGATCACTCTTTGCAGCACCCAGAGGACCATATGCGGGGGGAGGGCAGGGATCAAACCCAGGTTGGCGGCATGCAAAGCAAGTGTCCTACTCACTGTACTCTCACTCTAACCTCCCCTCCTATGCTTTTTTTGGGGTTGTCACACCCACTGATGCTCGGGGTTTACTTCTGGCTCTACACTCAAGAATTACTCTTGGCGGAACTCGGGGGCTGGGAGTAGGGGGAAACCATCTGGGATGTCGGAGAATGAACCCAGGTCAACCACATGCAAGTCAAATGCCCTGCCCGCTGTCCTATCACTTCTCCCTCTCTCCCCCAAAATGCTTTTTTGATATGCAAGTTAAGTCAGATACTCAGCATGGAATTTTTTCTTTATAAGATTGTGATTGGGGCTGAAGTGATGGTACAGTGGGTAGGGCACTTGCCTTGCATATGCCCAACCCAGGTTTGATCTCTGCCATCCCATATAGTCCCATGGTCCCCTAAACACTGCCAGGAATAATTCCTGAGTGCTGAGCCAGGAATAACCAGAGAGAGAGAGAGAGAGAGAGAGAGAGAGAATTGTGATTAGTGGGGCTAGAGAGATAGTACAGCAGTTGTAAGCTTCTTTCCATGCAGTGTTCAGCCCAGGTTTTGATCCATGGTACCCCATACGATCTCTCAAGCCCTCCAGAAGTGGTACAGAGCCAGGAATAAATCCTGAACAGCCAGGGGTCAAAAAAAAATTCTTTAAGTATGTAGGTTCTTTACTTGATTGATATACAGCCATAATGTTTATTGAACTGATGTGAAAAGAAGTTTTTAAGTGTTTTTTATGCTCATTTTTGGTCTTCATTCTTCCCTGGATTTTAAATTCCCCAAATCCAGGTGTTTGAGAGATACCTGTTGCTTTGAGGCAGAAATCTTCACCTGGATTTTCAGCCAGAGTTGGGAAAGCTTTGAGTCAGTGGGCTCAACCATCTTTGTTTTGTTTTGTTTTGTTTTGTTTTGTTCTTGGGTCACACCCAGCAGTACTCAGAACCTATTTCTGTCTGTGGGCTCAGGGATTATTCCTAGCAGACTGGGGGGACCATACGGGGTGCCTGGGATTGAACCTGAGTCAAGCATGTGTAAGGCAAGCACCCTATCTGCTGTTTTATCTTTCAGTCCCCTCAGCCATCTTTATCTGAAGGGTTTAGAGTAAGTACTTTTAGTGTCCTGTATTCTTCCTCCTAAGTATCCTTTCTTTCTTTCTTTTTTTTTTTTTTTTTGACTTTTTGGGTCACACTTGGCAATGTTCCTGGCTCTGCACTCAGGAATTACTCCTGGTGGTGCTTGGGGGACCATATGGGATGCCGGGGATTGAACCCAGGTCGGCCTTGTGCAAGGCAAACACCCTGCCTTGTACTATCGCTCCAGCCCTGAGTATCCTTTATTTCTCTCTCCTCTCTGCTAGGTATTGAACCCAGGTTCTGTACACACTTGCACTGCCACTGCACTACATCCCCACCCTTTATTGTACCTTTTTTTTTTTTTGCTTTTGAGGTCACACCCGGCGATGCACAGGGGTTACTTCCTGGCTCATACACTCAGGAATTACTCCTGGCAGTGCTCAGGGGACCATATAGAATGCTGGGAATCAAACCCGAGTTGGCCGCGTGCAGGGCAAATGCCCTACCACTGTACTATCGCTCTAGCCCCTATTGTACCTTATTAACATGATTATTTTCATGGAGAGGAGACCAGGAAGTCCCTATATTATTTCTTTTATCTTTGTTGAATGAATTACTTTTCAGGCACCAGCAGTTTATTTATAGCACTGTCCTATATTTTGTAGCCAGCTGTAGGATAGTTGTTTCATTCTGTGGTAGTTATGATATCCAAGACATCTTTGCTATGAAAGAATTTGGACAGTATCAGCTTTGAAACATATAGTAAGTCTCCCTCATAAGTGGACAGTGAAGAAATAAAAAAAATAGTTCAGGGGGGTTTGTTTGGGTTATTTTTGCAGGGGGGTGGGGAGCAGGGAAGGGGTTATTGGGCCACACCCAGTGGTGTTCAGGGGCTATTCCTGGCTTTGTACTCAAGGGATCATTCCTGGCAGTACTCAGGGGACCATATGCTGTGCTGGGAATGGAACCAAGGTCATCCGTCGTTCAGGCAAGCAGCCTACCCCTGTACTATCTCTCCAGCCCCAGTTCAGATATTTGGATGTCGTATGTGCTACTTTCATATGAACTTTGGTCGTGACCCTGCATGTAGCATTCTCAAGTCCACCTCCGCAATCCACTTAAAAGAATTTTCAATAAAATGCAGTAGGTATTAATTTTAATCTTTAAGTGTCCAAAGAATAGTTTTTTCCCTTTTCCAGGATGAAGAAGATAGATGTAAACTAGTTGTTTGGCTGACACTCTGCCAACTTCCTCCTCCCCCACCCCCCATTTTGTCATTTATTAGTTAACCTTGTTTCCTGCCTGAGAAGGTGAGGCAAAGGGAAAGAACAGAGGCTGAAAGCACTGAAACTTACCTGAGTTTTCTCCTCCCTTTTTATGACATGATGGACTCTCCTTTAGGTGCAGTGAAATTGTGGGCATGGTTGTCCCACCTCTCCCACTGACATTGAATGCCTAGAACAGGGGAGAGTTGAGTAAGGTGCTATTGGAGCCGAATGTACACCTCTACAATCTACATTTGGACCACCCCAGCGGGTGCTTTCTTGTTCGTTTTGGTTTGGAGGCCACACCTAGCAGTGCTCAGGGCTTACTCCTTACTGTCTGCACAGAATCTTTCCTGGCAGGACTAGGGTACCATATGGGTGCCAGGGATCGAACCTGGATCAGCCGTGTACAAGGCCCTATCTGCTGTACTCTCTCTTCAGTGCTCTCCCACAGTTATTTTTTAGAGGCCAAAGTGTCTGGGAATCTACTGGGAATCTACAGGGAAACTACAGGAAGCTTATTCTAACAGTGGGATGGGAAAGGTAATGCAGTTTACTAGATAGACCAGTTTTTTTTTTTTTTCAGAGAAACAGTAGCGAAATTACTTAATTTTGTTCTTATTTATTCAGTACCCACAAAGTGCCATGGAGAAGTTGATTGTAGATTTTGAAATGCAGGATTTAAAATAGGACCAGAACACAGTATTAAGAGAGGTATTAAAACTGTGCCATGTGTTAACAATGAGGTAAAGTTCTGGCGTTATTTGTCAATACCTAATGGTAAGCCAACTGATTGCAACAAGTTTTTCCCCCCAGCAGGACATAAGCAACACTTTCCTTTCCCCTAGATTGCTGAGTGGGTGACTTGGGCTGAGAAGCAGGACGGATATATATCTAAACAAACGGAGGAAATTTTTCTCTTCGCGAACTGACAAGGTTTCTGAATATCAGCTTATCTGAGGTGGTAGTGTTTACATACCATTATTAAGTGCTCTTGCATTGTGGAAAGTGCAAGGGCCCCCTGAGTTTGAAAACAGTTCAAATGGCGCTGGACAACTCAGGGGGCTGGCATGCCGGAGACTCGCTCCCTCGCTGCACTTTAGGGGAGACCCCCACCCCACGGGCGAGGAGTAGCCTCAAACATATAGATGTATGTATATGTATATCGCATAAATGTTTTTCTTTTTTCTTTTGTTTCGTTTTTTTGGGCGCACTTGTCAGCCACCACCATGCCGAGACCACTCTCCGCACACATGAAGGTACTGGCAGAGGGACAAAGCCACGCGGGTTCCGGGGCCGAGATCTCCAAGCCTACTCGGATTGGAGTTGAGCATCCTCCACCCAGATCCTCCAAATTCCAGTAGGCGGGGGTCACACCCACCACCTGGCCCCCTGGTGCCGTGTAATCCCATCAGCGGCCAAGACTCAGAGACTATAAAATCCAGCTCCCGGAACCGCGCGGCCGAGCAACATCTTATCAGGACATCTTTTTATGACATTTTATTATCTCATTCCTACTTTGGACAAACTTGCAGGCTATCGAATGTAGCCTGCCCACAGGGCAGAGTCTGGCAAACTCCCCGTGGCGTACCAAATATGCCAAATACCAGTGACAATGATGGGTCTCATTCTCCTAAAGAGCCTTGAATATAATCTCAGGGCGAGGATGAAGGAGACGTTATTGGGGCCTGCTCGAGGCAATCGACAAATAACAGGATGATAAATGAATGAATGAATGAACTTGTCAGTGCTTACTCCCAGCTCTTTGCTCAGGGATCACTGCCGAAGGGGCTTCAAGGGACCATATGGGCTGCCAGGGATCAAACCTGGTTTGGCTGCATGTAAGGCGAGCGCCCTGCCCACAGTACAGTTGCTACGGCCCCAGAGTTTTTCTTTGTTGGAAAGTAATTCAGTTCCTATTCATTTTTTTGTGCAAGCCTGTCCTGTTGTATAGAAAATCTTCTGTGTACCTAGATCTGCCTGTGAAAACAGTCTTCTAGAGAGTGGCCCTTTGGCCCAGAGTTAACACCGGCCCCACTGCACCTTCTCCTCAGTGCAAGATAAACCCCACACTCGATCACAGCGTAGATCCAGCCCGGGCTCTGTTTGCCACCTTTACTAGTGTGCTTTCAGCCTCCCAGGATATCTGTGTGTTTTCTGGACATAGATTTTCTCCTGGCCAGATCTTTGCACATACTCTTTGTTATCCCTGAAATCTTGCCCTTCCAGCACACTCTTCCACGTGCAGTTCCCTTGTTTGTTGATTTGTTTGTTTGTTTGGGGGAGGGGGCGGGGGGGGCACACTCATTGGTGCTCAAGGCTTACTCCTGGCTTTGTGTTCAAGAATTTCTCCTGGCAGTTTACTCCATGGCTTAGAGGCCAGCCACACACGCTAGGGGAAAAGGCAGCTCAGATAGAGAAGGGAGCGCCAAAGAAAGGGTGTTGGGAGGATCCTCCCAGGATGGGAGATGCATGCTGAAAGTAGACTATAGACTGAACATGATTGCCACTCAGTGCCTCTCTTGCAAACCACAGCACCCAAAAGAAGAAAGAGAACAAAAGGGAATGCCCTGCCACAGACGCAGGGTGGGATGGGGGGATAGAGGGGGTGGGAGGGATACTGGGATCAGTGGTGGTGGAGAATGGGCACTGGTGGAGGGATGGGTCATTGTATAACTGAAACCCAAGCACAAAAATTTGTAAGTTTACAACTGTACCTTATGGTGTTTCACTAATAAAAATTAAAAAGAGAGAGAGAGAGAGAGAATTCCTCCTCGCTCAGGGGCCTATATGTGGTGCCAGTGGTCTTAGATTGGCCTCTTACAAGGCAAGTGCTTTACCCAAGTATACTATCTCCCCAGCCCAGTATTCTGTGTTTGAAAATGACTGTGAGGGTAACAGAGAGATGTTAGTGGGCTAAGCACAGGCTTTGCATTCAGGAAGCCTCAGGTTTAATCTTAGCCCCATGGGACTGGAGCGATAGTACAGGAGGTAGGGCATTTGCCTTGCACACGGCCGACCCGGGTTCGATTCCCAGCATCCCATATGGTCCCTTGAGGCACTGCCAGGAGTAATTCCTGAGTGCAGAGCCAGGAGTAACCCCTGTGCTTCACTGGTTGTGACCCACCTCCCCAAAAAAAGCCTAACTAAATAAATAAAAATAATCTCAGCCCCACGTGGTCACCTGAGCACTGCTGGGAGTGATTAAAAAAAAAAGTGGAGGGGGGAAAGGAAAACGTAGTTTTATGATTTTGGTGTTTGTCATATTAGCAAGTCTCTGGAGACTTCTTCCAAACAAGATTATGTCTTAAAATTTTGTGTTGACTATACATTGCTGGAAGTCAAAGTCTGATGAGCTACATGTTGAGTAAGCACATAACTTCCCCTTGACCATCTCTCCGGCCTATTTGTTTTTCTTTTTTTTTCTTCCCTCTTTTTGAGTCACACCCAGCAATACTCGGAGGTTACTCCTTGCTCTGCAGCTCAGGAATTACTCCTGGCCGTGCTTGGGGGACCCTATGGGATGCCGGGGATTGAACGCAGGTCAGCCGCTTGCAAGGCAAACACCCCCCCCCCCCCCCCCCCCCGGCTATCGCTCCGGCCCCTATTTGTTTATTTCTTGTATGTTTTGTCTCCTTACTGGTTTGTACTTTATGTGTTAATTATTTATTAGTTAACTTTAGAAATACTCATCCAGAGGCTGGAGCAATAACGCAGCACAGGTAAGGGTCTTTGCCTTGCATGCGGCTGACCCAGATTTGATCCCTGGGACCCCGTATGGTCTCCCCAGGCACCGCCAGGAGTGGTCCAAAACCCCAAACAAAACCAAAAACCAAGAAATATGTGTCTGTACCTCAAACTAGTTGTAGACCGAGTTCTGAAAAGAAAGCAGACAGAACATGTCCCTTATGATGCTCATTCCCTCATTCCCCTTTGTTTTGCAGACTTCAGTGCCAAAAGGAAAAAGAAAGTAGCAGAGATTCAGCAGGCTCTGAACAGTGACCCCACGGATGTGGCTGCACTCAGACGCATGGCGATCAGTGAGGGGGGCCTCCTGACCAATGAGATCCGGCGCAAAGTGTGGCCCAAACTCCTCAATATCAGCACCAGTGACCCCCCGCCTACATCAGGTGAGGGCTGGCATGGACTGCGAGGGCAGCTTTTTGGGAGACCAACTGGTTTCAGAATCTTTTCTTTCTGTGCAATAAATAATTTTATTTATTGCCCAGGGAAAGTGGGGTACACTCTGGCTCTGTGCAGTTCTGTGCTGGAGACTACGTACGGTACTGGGAATTTGTTTATTTTTGGGGGACACAGCAGGCAGTGCTCAGGGGTTACTCCTGACTCTGCACTCAGGAATTACTCCTGGCAGTGTTCTGGGGACTATTTGGGATACTGAGGATTAGAGCTGGGTTGTCTGTGTGCAAGGCAAATGCCTTGCCTTGTACTATCACCCTGGCCCAGTACTTGAATCAGGTTCGCAGCATTGCATGCACTCTGTTCATTGAGTTGTCTCTCTGTCCTTCTGTGTTTTTCTAAAACCAAGAATAGAGGAATTAATCTAAGGCATTTTAAGTTATGGTTGAGCCTACCTTGAAAATAAGATCAGACTAGGGTTTTTTGGGGGGCTGGGACATACTTGGTGGTGCTCACGGCTTACTCCCTGCTCTGTGCTCAGCTGAAATTTCTCTCTCTGGCCCCAGTAAGTAGAATTTTATTCAAAATTGGAATTGCCTTGTGTTAGATAGGTAGCTTTCATTGTTGAGCCTGAGGAGTATATTAAAAATGCACATTCCAGGGACTGGAGAGATAGGATAGTGGGTAAGGAGCTTGCTTTGCACACAGCTGTCCTGGGTTTGATCACTGGCACTCCATATGGTTCTTCGACACCTTCAGGAGTGATCCCTGAGCACTGCTTGGTTTAGCTAAAAAAGACAAAAAGAAAAGAAAACAATGTATTTTCTGGGGACCAGGTATGAGACTCAACCGTAGAGCACAGACTTTGAATTTGTGAGACCCTGGGTTTTACCTCCAGTACCAGGGTCGACTGATAGGGAGTATATTCCATTTGCTTAGAAGTAGGTTGTGGAAATTTGTCTCTTAACAAGCACCCTAGGTAATTACGATGCAGATGGACTACATTTTGAGAAACATGAGGCTGCAGGGAGAGTTTATCCTTTAAAAATCCCTTTTTCTTGGGAAATTCTGAGATCCCTTTGAATTCCTAAGTTGCTTAATTTTGTGCCTAGCTTGCTAACTGATTTGTAAGGCCTGTGTAGTAGAAGGTCTTTCTCGGAGTACGGTACAAAATGAAAGACTTTTTCAAGTGCTGCAGAATAAGGAGTTTGCTTTGTCATTCATTCACTGAACAGACATTCCCTGCTTTCTCGGTATGCGTGGCACACGTCCAGGCACTGGGGACTTTTCCATTCATTTGGCAGATATTGACTGTGCTCTCTGTGCCAGGTGCTGGGCAGATGAAAACAGGACAGTGTCGCGGGGGAGACTGTTGGTGTTAAGTTGCTGCCTGTTGTTATCTTTGGCACCAGCAGCCTGGGAGCAGTCAGCTTTTTCGGGGGAGAAAGAGTTACCGTTCCCCCATTCTGAGTCGACTCTCTTGGATCCACCGTTTCCCACACCTCTGCAGGATGATGTGGGTGTAGAGCGTGGGTGCAGGGCAAGGACCCTGGTGGTGTGGTTTCTCCTCGAGGAGGAGGACATGTGCAGTTGTTACGTAACACTCCACTCGGCTCCAGGGAACGGCACACCTGCTGTATAGTGTAACAGAGAGAGTGGGTCTCCTTCGTGCTGTCTTGGCTCCACAGCTGAACACAGATGCCACCTTTGGTCTGTGGGGCCTTGTTTTAGCCTTTGGTTCAACCTCTCTTCCCTCATGTGAATTGGGCTTAGTACACCTCAGGCTCAGTCGGTCTCCCTGAACTATGCAGAGGTCGGGGTTCTTGTTGCTAGTTTCCACCTTTGGGACTTTTGCTTTTGTTTGTTTGTTTGTTTGTTTGGGCGCCATACCCAGCACTACTCAGGGGCCTTCCTCCTGGCTGACTAAGGGATCACTCAGGAATCACTTCTGACAGGACCTGGGGGAACCAAATGGGGTGCCGGGGAGGGAACCGGTGTTGGCCGCATGCCAGGCAAGCGTCCTGCCCACTGTATGAGCGCTCCGGCCCCTCCTCATGCAGGATCTTCTCTGAGCCTCACAGTAGCCTGGCAGGTACACAGGGAAGGGACTGTCTCCGTTTGACCAGTGTGGACCCTGAAATTCCAAGCAGCCCCTGAGAGATGCACAGGGGCCCCCGACTGGCTCGGTCAGTCCCCTCCCGTTCTTGCCTCTGTTCATCCGCACCCTCCTCTCCTGAGGAGGCAGCCGGTTTGGAACTCACTAGGTTCCGTTTTGTCTTGGGTCAGAGCTTCTTTCAGATAAATCCGGACTTTGTCTGCCAGGTCTTTGCTCCCAGCCAGCCCCTCGCTCACGTGTTCTCTTTCCCCCCACAGGGAAGGACTTACGACAGATGAGCAAGGACTACCAGCAAGTGCTTCTGGATGTCAGGCGGTCTTTGCGGCGCTTCCCTCCTGGTGAGACGCTCTCCTGGTCTTGTCACACGAGACTCCTCGGCCTCGTTACTCTCGCTTTCTTGTGGTTGCACATGCTAGAGTCAAGGCTCTTTGACCCCAGCACTCATTGAGGCCAAACAGGCAGGAGACCCTGTCTCCCGTTATGGAGTTGTCCTTTTTTTCTTTTCTTTCCCCCTTTGGTCTTTGGGTCACACCCGGCAGTGCTCAGGGGCTAACTCCTGGTGGTACTCAGGGAACCATATGGGTTCCTGGGAATTGAACCTCGATCAGCCACGTGCAAGGCCAACGCCTTATCTGCTGAGCTATGACTCTGTCTCCTGTGAGTTGTCCTTTGGTGGGCTCGGGTATACTCAGAGCCTGGACTAGAACCACTTTCCCATGACTGAGAGTTGATGAATGAGAGGAAAAGGGTTTCCAGCCCCCAATACCCTTCAGAGCCATAGAACGACCTTCACTGGAATTGCCGAAGCCATCGGTCTGGCTTCATTTATTATGTGTATTTAGAGGTCTGCTCCTGGCTCTGTTCAGGGGGGGTCTCTCCCAGCAGTTCTGGGGGACCCTGCAGTGCCAGGGCTAGACCCTGGGCCTACATGCAGCATGTGCTCAGCCTGACTTTCTGGCCTGCCAGTGTGGCTTTAAAGATTGATTGAGAAGTAGACATTGTCAAGCTCTTTAATTTCCTCATTTGGCGATAGATGTGTTGGATCCCGTGCTCTAGAGAGGAAGCTGTTCTCTGCATATTGAAAGAGTTTGTGTCTGTGTCTGCTGTGCTGGGGACTTCAGAGGAAGGACAGTGGGCAGGACACTTGGTGGGCACACCACTGACCTGGATTCCACCCAGGTACTCCTCTATGCTCCCCTAAGCACAGAACACCTGGAGTAAGCACCACCAGACACCGCCCAAAACACCCCCATAAAAATAATAATAAAATTAAGTGTGTTCTCACATTGCCTTACCACCCTCGGGGAAAAATTGGCATGACTATTGTCTTCATTTTCTTTTCCTTTGGCTGTGGCATTATGTTAGGCCACACAGGAACAAGAGTCTATGTAATCTGTAGCTCTCTCTTCTGAGACCAGGCTTGGGTTGGAATTGTTGAAGGGCCCTCTAACCTGCTCCGCGCCGTTTCCTGGAAAGGCCCTCTTGATGCCAGTAGCCTGCCACCTTGATTTGATAAAAGCAGTTCCTGGTTCTGGCTCCTTTTTTTTTCCCTTCGACTTGGACGAGACTTCACAGGACAAATTTTATCCCATTTTGTTTCTTACATTGTCTCATTGTCTGTTTTCCCTTAGAACCCTTTTTTTCTCTTCTATTTTTATGACATCCATCTGTTTCGTATAGTCTTTCTGTGAGCTTGACTTTTCTCGTGGTTTCATACTTTGCATTCGAGTTCTTCTCAGCTTATCTGACCCCTTTTATACAAAGAATTTAGTTTGTTTTCACATTACCTTACGTGCCACAGTACTTCGATTATTCCATTTTTCTCTTGTCTCCTCACCCTCCAGCCTCCCCAACACCCCCTGCTCCCCTTTTAAAACTGCATTTTTGGAAAAGGGAAAGGAACTAAGGACAAGAAATTAACCTTTTTTTTTTTTGAGGGATTGGCACCCCCATTTTATTTTATTTTATTTCTTTTTCTTTTTTCTTTTTTTTTTTTAATGTAGGAGTACTGTTATTTATTCAGCCACTGATTAGGCTGATTGAATTGGGCATGAACACCACCTTTTTTTTTTCATAATTTTATTTATTGAATCACCATGAGAGCAGTTACAAAGCTTTCAGGTTAAGTCTCAGTCATACAATGAAACACTCGTATCTTCACCAGTGCCCATTCTCCACCACCAAAAACCCCAGTATACCCCTATCCCACACCCTCTCCCTACCTGTGGGCAGATGATTTCCACATTACTCTCCCTCTACTTTGATTACATTCAATATTTTGACACCAGACCCACCATTATTATTTGGGACTTTACCCCAACACTCAGCTCTGCCGAAAAGGCAGCAGTAGGCAATTTGTTTTCTATTGCTGGTTATGAATAACATAGGATGTCGCGCAGCAGTAGTAGTGACCACGCAGTTTTGAAATAATGAAATTTTAACAAATAAATCTGGAGGGATTTCTTCCAAAAGCCATTGGGGTTCGAGATTTGTTTCTGAGTCTCTGGGATCATGGCCGTTAAGCAGTTCGATCAGGAACCAGAGAGGCCATGCCTGCAATTATATAGCTGAGCCGGAGGTGGTTTGTGGGTGTGTCTCCCACATACCTAACTCTGGCCGTTTACTTTCTTGGCAAACTTTCCCCCAAGCTTTTGGGGTCTGGCCAAAGGCACAGCAGCAATTTTGGGGTATCTGGAAGTCTGAAGGCGCCACCAGGCTGCTGATGCACTCGCCTCACAGGTACAGATTGACCTGCTGGCGGCACCATACTCCCGTTGTTCTCTTTTTAAACCCTTTGTGGATTTAGAGTGGGCTCTTACATTAGCCAGTTGCTTTCACAATATCTGTTTTTAACCCCAAAAGAAAAAGGTATAGAAAAGTAGTGCTCTGTGCTGTTCTTCTAAGAGGTTCATAATGTCAGGGTTTGGCATTTTTCATACTAAAAGCCAGAATTCAGGTACCCCTCTGCTCATTCCCAGAACCAGCTGGTGCTCCAAAAGAGCTCTCAAGACAGGTTCTCTGAGTCCAGCCCCATCTTTGGGTCAGGAAGATCAGTGTTTAGTATGGAGGGGAGCACTTGACTCCTACTTCTTATTTTTATATAATTGTATACGCATTGAAACATAGACTAAAGAATTCCCTAGATAGCTTTTATGTAAATTTCTCTCTCTTACTTGGCAGAGGGGCTGGGTTCAGGCCACACCCTGCATGCTCAGGACTTTGTCCTGGTTCTGTGCTCCGGGGTCATTCCTGGAGAGTCATGGGGATACATATGGAGTGTTGGGGATCCACCTAGCATCAGCTGAATGCAAGGCAAGTGCTCTGCCCACTGTACTATCTGTCTGGCCACTGCCCACATTTCTTTATGAACATGTCACCATATTTTTAAAAATTTCTTTAAATTTTTTTTATTCTCTGACTACATGAAAACTTTTCCTGAATTACTTAAGAATACATGTTTCCTATTACCCCTAAATATTTCAGGATTTCTTAAAAACAGGGCTCTTGCATAATCACAGCTACACCTACCAAATCAGTTACAACATTGAACAATACTATTACCTAACCTGATTTCATTTATATTTCATCATTTATTCTAGTAATGTCTTTATAGGAAAAGGAAATGAAAATTGATGTATTTCCTGCTAAACTGTATCTCACTAGCCTGTTTGTCTTGGGGAGACACCTGGTGGTGCTCGGGGCTCACTCCTGAGCTCTGTGTTAAGGGGTCACTCCCAGTGGGGCTCAGGGCAGATGGCTTCTGGTTACTCCTGGTTCATGCATTCAGGAATTACTCCTGGCCGTGCTTGGGGGACCATATGGGATGTTGGGAATTGAACCCAGGTCGCCCTTGTGCAAGGCAAATGCCCTACGCACTGTGCTATCACTCCAGCCCCCCATTACCCTTTCTAAACCTGAAATCATTCCTGCATCTTTGTGCCTGTTAGTACACAGTTATACTCGATCCGGGTCTGTCTAGTACCTTTTTGTTGTTTAGTTCGGATTCCCTTGGGTCCCCTTGGTAGCAGTTCCAGAGCGGTGGTGCCAGTGTTTGCCGTGCATCTCACTGGACACAGCTGCCCAGTGAGCCCTGTACTTGCAGGGTTGTGAGCTGCAGTGAGTCGATGAAGAGAATGTCATCTGGACTCCTCCATCCCCACCCTGCCTTGTCAGATGCCGGTCTGCAGCTCTGCCTGCTGTTCCCTGGTGGGATCAATGGCGTGTGTAGCCTTGATAGGAATTTCCAGTAGCATCTCACTCCCTCTGAGAAGACTCTCTCCTGGGAAAATCTGGTGCTGCCCTCCTGGCCTCTGTGTCTGTAGACTGCGTGACGCGTTCCGTGCCTCTGCCCACGCCTCTCCCTAGGTATGCCGGAAGAGCAGAGAGAAGGGCTGCAGGAGGAGCTCATCGACATCATCCTCCTCGTCTTGGAGCGCAACCCGCAGCTGCATTACTACCAGGGCTACCATGACATCGTGGTCACGTTTCTGCTGGTGGTAGGAGATGATCTGGCGACATCCCTGGTAGAAAAATTGTCTACCCATCACCTCAGGTACCAGTGCGGGGGCGTCCAGGACAGGGGTGTCACTCCATTGTATTGTCAGTTTGTCTAATGCTTTGGGCCCTGCTTTGCCCTTACCCCGGATCTAATTGCGTGGTCTGATCAGGGCTCACTGAGTTTTCTCCCTCTAGGGATTTCATGGATCCAACAATGGACAACACCAAGCACATATTAAACTATCTGATGCCCATCATAGACCAGGTGAATCCAGAGCTCCATGACTTCATGCAGAGGTATGTATGTGCCTGCACTCACGTGTACATACGCACACATCTCCTGCAGTTTTCTTCTGGTCTGTATCTTTCCTCATAGTCTCATCCCCATCTTAGGTTCATTGGTATTAATTTCTAGCTTAATTTTTTTTTTTTTTTTTTTTTTTTTTTGCTTTTTGGGTTACACCCGGCGATGCACAGGAGTTACTCCTGATGGTGTTCAGGGGACCATATGGGATGCTGGAAATTGAACCCAGGTCGGCCGCCTGCAAGGCAAATGCCCTACCTGCTGTGCTATCTCTCCAGCCCCTTCTAGCTTAATTCTTTTGAGGCTTTTTTAAAATGCTCTTACTACACCGGAGAGATAGTTCAGTGGGTAGGACACTTGCCTTGCACATAGCACGGATCAGATTCCCTGGCATCCCATAAGGTCCCCCAAGCATGTCCAGGAGTAACTCCTGAGTGCAGAGCCAGGAGTAACCCCTGAGCACCTCCAGGTATGACTCCAAAACAACAACAACAACAACAAAATGCTCTTTGTCCTTTCCACACACCAGCAATCTGGATGCTTCATCTATACACAGCTCTAGAGCTCTTGTCCAATGCCTTGCTCTTGTGGGGAAATGAGAAATGTCATAGCCCATGTCCTAGAGGAGTTCACCTCTAGTGGGAAGAAACCGATAAGAAAAATATGCCAAGGTAGGCTTTGAGGAAAATATGCCAAGAGCAAGGCATTGAGTCTTGAAAGACCAAGAACACAGATCTCAGACTTACTCAACCTACTTTCTCCTTTTCAGAAACATAAAAGCACTCAGCTTCCTCCTGAAAATAAAGTGCCTCCCAATTACACCTGAGATGACAGTGTCCCCCACCCACCCACAGTGTTTCAGGGTCCCTCCCCTCCCCCAGTAGAGGTTCCCACTTTGGGAAACCCCGGATGCTAGAGGCAAGGAAGACAAAGTCAGCGATTTTAGTCACCAAATGGAAAGGAGAAGTAATATTTTGTGAAATTGCTCATGGATTTTTTCCTCTCTCTTCCATTCAGTTGAAAATATGTCTTTTGCCAATGCCTTGTTATATTTTAAAAAATGGCTGTGTCTAAAGATGTTTCTAATAACCTAACACAGATGTATTTTCAAACCCCTGAGGATATGTGTGTACGCCCCCAAAAGATCCTAGAAAACTGGTATGGGTGGGCAGGTGTGTGTGTGTGTGTGTGTGTGTGTGTGTGTGTGTGTAGGGGGGTTGTGGAGCTACACCCAATGGTGTTCAGGGCTTACTCCTGACTGACTGAACTCAGGGATTGCTCCTGGCGGACCCCTGGTGGTGCTAGGGATTGGTCAGACAAATGCAGGGCAAGCATTTGCCCTGGACGATCTCTTGGGCCTCCAGGATCCTGTTTCTCCTTGTTCCTGTTATGGACATTGTTTTGCCGCTAGAATACTCAGTGAGAGAGGCCCCCAGAATTCTCCTTGTGTATTAGGATCTCGTGGGGTTTGGGGTTTTTTTTTTTTTTTTTTGGCTTTTTGGGTCACACACGGCGATGCACAGGGGATACTCCTGGCTTTGCACTCAGGAATCACTCCTGGCGGTGCTCAGGGGACCATATGGGATGCTGGGAATCGAACCCGGGTTGGCCGCGTGCAAGGCAAATGCCCTACCTGTTGTGCTCTCACTCCAGCTCCGAGGATCTCATGTTTTATGCAGAGAAAGCACTGAGTTCCTCGGGGGCTGACTTTCCAGAGAGGATGTTTCCCAAATACTTCCTCTGCACATTGGAAAGATGTAAGTCCTGGCTGACGAGGTGGGGACCCTAACATCTGTCTTTCCTTGCTCCTAGTGCTGAAGTGGGGACCATCTTTGCCCTCAGCTGGCTCATCACCTGGTTTGGACACGTCCTGTCTGACTTCAGGCACATCGTGCGGTTATACGACTTCTTCCTGGCCTGCCACCCTCTGATGCCCATTTATTTTGCAGCTGTGGTAGGTTCAGGCCCTGAGCCAGCAGATAGACTCACCCTTCCCCATCCTAGCCTGATCCTATCCCCTGCCCCTGGGGTTACACAGAGGCGTGAAAGACAGCAAGCGCTTTCATGCCTGAACATGATTCAGTGTGTCATTGGTGGGTCAGAGGTGGAGGGGAAATGCTCTGTGTAAAGAATGCTTTGGCATTCTGAAAATGCCAGTCAGCCAGAGTTAAGCAGACGTATTTATCAATTTGATTATTTTGAGCATTTTTAAAAAATGTTCTTGTAAATTATCAGTGTTCCTATTGATAGCTGCTGGCACACTTAGGCAAACTGCAGAACACCAGATCTTAAAAAGAACGGGTGTGGTGTTGGGGTAGAAAGTGGGGGTGGCTTGTGGTTGGTTGGGATGGGAGAGCTGAAGGTATAAGAAGGGTCTGGATCATCAGAGGGGTTGTAGAGCGGGGGCTGTGGGGCCAGACTGTTCTGGCTGTTCGGGACTGGTCCATCAGTACTGGAGCTCCAACGAGCTCCTGGTAATCCCTCTCCTCTCCTTCCTCCTGAAAGATTCTCCCTCCTTTAAGGATCAGCTTTAAATATTGCCGGAGGGAACTTTGCCTCTAGTAGAAAGGGCCAGGTCAGTTGGAGAAGCCCTGAGATATGGACGTTCGGGCTTGCTAGGTGGATACAAGAGCTTGTGGAACGTTGGGGGTGAGCCCTGCCTGGTACCAGCCCAAATTCCTCTCTGAGTAGGATGCGATGCAAATGGCGAAGGCCCTGTGTGTTCTGGTCTCTGATGTCAGGCCTTGCTCCCCGTAGATCGTGTTGTATCGAGAACAGGAAGTCCTGGATTGTGACTGCGACATGGCCTCAGTCCACCACCTGTTGTCCCAGATCCCTCAGGACCTGCCCTATGAGACGCTGATCAGTAGAGCAGGAGACCTCTTTGTTCAGTTTCCCCCATCCGAACTCGCCCGGGAGGCGGCTGCCCAGCAGCAAGCAGAGCAGTGAGTGAGGGCAAGGTGTTGGTTGAGCAGGGGGTGCCCAGAGGCGGGCAGTAGTGATGCGAGACTGCGTGTGGCGGGGCTAGGGCTGAGGGATGTCGCCTGACTTCTGAACCCCCACTCTTCACTCCCGCCTCCAGGGATTGTTCTCAAAGACGCGTCCTTCCCGAGTAAATGGGTGGCTCCACCCTCAGCCCGTTCACTGTCGCTCTCCTTCCCTTCCCTTCCCTTCCCTTCTCCGTGCAGACCATCTCCTTTCCTCTGTCTCCTTCCCCTCTGCAGAACGGCAGCCTCTACCTTCAAAGACTTTGAGCTGGCCTCCGCCCAGCAGAAGCCCGACATGGTGCTGCGGCAGCGGTTCCGGGCAGCTCTGCGGCCTGAGGACCGAACAAAAGATGTCCTGACCAAGCCCCGGACCAGCCGCTTTGTGAAACTGGCAGTGATGGGACTGACGGTGGCACTGGGAGCGGCCGCTCTGGCCGTGGTGAAGAGTGCCCTGGAGTGGGCTCCCAAGTTTCAGCTGCAGCTGTTCCCCTAGGGCCGAGGCGGGCGTTGCCTCTCACCTACCACGGCGAGGTCTCGCGCTTCCATCTGGGGCAGGGAGGGTCGGGGCTCCTTTATTAAAAGGGTCTCTGGCAAGGGTCTTCTCTTCCTGCCCCATTTCCCTGGTGGCCCACGGTTTCCCTGCCACGTGGCAGCTGGGTGTGGCACTCTCCTCCGCACCGTGAGCTGCTGAGTGGGCTCCGGGCTGTCTCCTTGTGTGTTGGGGTCAGCTGTGTTTGATAACCCTCTGCGCCTGGCAGCTGGGGGCCCACTCGGCTGCCCAGTGGTGAGGAAGCCGGACCGCTGAGCTCGCTCCTCACGGCTCCTCCTGTTCTGTCTGCATCAGCCAGACAAGGGGGACAGGAGCTTTGCCAAAGAAGTGGGACCTGGGAACAGAACCAAGGGGCAGGAGTGCTCACCCAGAGCCAGGTGAACCCCTCAGGAGCTGCTCCTTTGCTGATCGGAATTGAAGGGACATGTGAACTAGGTGAACCTGTTTTCCACTTAGAACTCACTTGGGCATTTCCAGCCATCTGGGAAGGAATGTTCATTTCAGGGCACAGACCTAGCGTGGTTTTGCTTGGTGTTCCCCTCCTCCTTTTCTTTTCCTTTTCACCTCTGTATTCTTATCCACAGCCACATGACATAGCTTATGAAAGGTACCTTTATTACTGTTTTTCAGACTAACATACATCTAAGATGTAAGTACCTTCATTTTTAAGAGTTCCTGTAGAACTCAGAAGCATGAGGTACTGACTCTGAGGTTTTGGGGTTTTTGGTTTTGTTGTTTTGTTTTGGGGCCACATCGGGTGATGCTCTGGGGTTACTCCTGGCTCTGCACTCAGGAATTAATCCTGGCAGTGCTCAGGGGACCATATGGGATGCCTGAAATTGAACTGAGGTTGGCTACATGCAAAGCAAGCTACCTACCCACTGTACTCTTGCTCCGGCCCCTGGTTGTTTTATCTGTTTTGGGGTCACCCACCCAGTAATGCTCAAGGGTTACCCCTGGCTCTGCACCCAGGAATTACTCCTGGTAGTGCTCAGAGCAGACCATATGGGATGCCAGGGATCGAACCCAGATCTGCCACATGGAAGCTTGTGATACTGCTCTGGGCCCACTCTGAGGTTTTCTTTCTTTTGACATTTTACTTAGCCAGTGTTGCTTTTTGTAAAACATCCCTACCGTTTCCAAAGTGCCCACAACTTGTTCAGTTTCCCTCCCTTCCTTCATTTTTTCCATTTCCTCAGATCATCCCTTCTGCTCCTGCACGGATGCCCACTCACTGCCTTGGCTGCTTTTTTTTTTGGGGGGGAGGGGGTTGATTTCTCTCCTTAAAGCTGGTCTCTCCTTCCTGGTTGGAAATGTTGTTGGGGACCCGTCCGCACCCAGAAAGGACACCCCACTGCCCGAAGAACTGCCGCGGGCTCCCCAGGACTTAGGGAACAAGACAGATCATTCATTCCTTCCAGGACACCTGCTCCTGTAAGCCAAGCCAGGTTTGTTTCATTGTTTCAGATGAACTCTGGCTTGGGGTTAAAAAAAAAAAAGTGCCTTCCGCTGCTTTAAAGAATTGCGCCTACGGCAGAAGCAGCTGTATTCTTTTTCCCTGGTCTTTCCTGGGCACTGTTCTCTCTTGGCAGATCCTTTCTTCCGGGGAAGCTGCCAGAAGCACTCCGCCCACCACCCCCAGACCTCAGGCCTCCCACATGACCGCAGCGCAGAGCCGGGTCATCGCACTGGTGGCCGACCGGCCAGCGCAGAGCGGTCGGGCAGGCTGTCGCCACGGAAGTCCATGAAGCACTTTAGAACCTGGCGCTCTCAGAGTGACGGGTACTCTCCCGAGGGTGAGTGTGAGGTCACGGGCGGATGACTCGAGCGTGGTGGGCCAGCAGGACAGATTCTCCAGAGCTGCTGCTGCTGCCGCCGTCTACACTCGTGCCACGTGTTTGTCCTCCTGTCTGTCATCTCTGCAAATGGACACAGCCACACCCCTCCGGCCTCCGGCCAGGGACCCAGGCATCTGGGCATACTGAAGGAAGGGCTGGAGGGAGAGGAGAGGAGGTGCGTGTGTGTGTGTGTTCAGGGGCCGGAGGCCACAGCCTCCGATCCCAGGCAGCAAGTGGCGTTTGCTTCCGGTGTGGCCAAAGGAGAAAGTTCGTTTGTTTTACAGCTTTGCTGACATCAGGATTCTTCCCTGCCGAAGAGAAGAGAGCATTATCTTTTTACCTTCCGCTGGTTTACTATTCTGTAAAGAATATGTGTAAATATTTTGTACAGAGCCCTCTATGAAATAAACAGCCATATGTGGTTACTAAGCCTCGTGTCCTTGTCCCCCGCTTGTTGGGAAATGAACCCTGCTCGGCATCTGCCCTGCCCTGCTCCGGCCTGTCTTCGCCTCGCCCCAGGAAGTGTGACTGCAGCGGCTGCCTCTGCTCACAGGTAGGTAGCAGAGGGGTGTTGCCACTAGTCTGGGGGATACCTGACCAGTTCTCCATGTCTCATGCGTCGTTCTGGACATGCCTGTAGCTGTAAAGGCTGACCCTGGGCCTGGGACCCCATTAGGTCCCAGCGTGTCATCTCTCTCCACAGGGAAACTGTGGGGAGCCGTTGACTCAGCGCTCACCAACAGGCCACACTCCCGGCTGCATTCTGTGGGAACCCGGCGTGGGCCCGGGTGCCTCTGGCCTCTGCCTCGGATGCGTCCGGCCCCAGGAGGAAACCCTGTTGTGTGTGTGTGTGGGGGGGGGGGGTCACTTCTGGGCCCAAGGACAGATTCGCAGAGATTGCTGGCAGAGCTCTACTAACCCCTCTAGAAGGCCGCATTCCATTTGTGGTGTTGGTTAAGAATAGTTTGGTGCTTGAAACTGTGAAGGAAGGGTGTGCGTGATACGTTGACTTTGTCTTGTGGTTAGGGGTCTGGTCTGGGGACCACACCCAACAAAACACATGGCTTACTCCTGCCCGTGCACGCAGGGATTACTCTTGTGGGCTTGGAGACCATATGTAGTGCCTGGGAAAGGACTCCTGATTTGCTGCGTGCAATGCAAGCGCCCTACATCCTGGACTATCTCCCTGCCCTCCGTTTGTCTCCAGTCCCTAACTATGGAATTCCTGTCTTTGTTCTTGGGCCCCACCTTGTAGAGCTTAGAGGCTACTCCCAGCTCTGTACTGGGAGTTGTTCCTGGCATTGTTGGGGGGCCGTGTTTGATCAGACCCCACCTCCATATGGAAAGCCTGTGCTCAGCCGTTTGAGCTGTGTCCCTGGTCCTCATGGGGCTTTATTTTTTTTTTTAATCACTGACTTACAAGCCTCATAATACAGTTGTTATGGGCTTTCAATGTTCCCACAACTGTGTCACCACAAGACTGACCTCTTCCTGTCTCCCCAACCATCCCCCAAGCCTGTCCCCCCGTAGCAGGCCCCCAGTAATTTCTTTTATATTGTTACCACCACATGGCTAATGGAACTAACAGAAGAAATACTTCAGTAAAAAAAGATTTATGAAAATTGTTGTATCTCACCATGGGAAAAATAAGTTTTCATCTGAGGGTTTGCTAAGCTGCTATTGCTAGTTGAGCCTTGTGTGGATATTTTTGTTCATTGAGCCTAGCTGGCTTCATTACAGTCCCATCCAATCTGGCGTGTCCCTACTGGGATGTTAGTATTAGCTTGGAGATGTTGCTCCAGAAAATCCAGACTATTTAACTGGGCCTTGAGCTTGTATGGTGGCGGTGATGGAATGTGGGTGTGGCTACCAGGGCTTCTGGAAGAGCAGGGAATAAGGTGGTCTGAGGGATAATCCAGCCACTACTGCAAGAAAACCCCAAGTTTTCACTCCAAAAAAAAACCCGTGTACCTGAAATTTTCAGTAGTTTGGCATCTCTGCAGAGCTCAGTCTGCCCATGGGGATAGTGGCGGCTGGTGCAGTGTGAATGTGGCTGCCAGGGCTTCATTAGGGCGGGGACTTAGACTGCCCCCCACCCAGGTAACCCCCGAGATTTCAGCCAGGACTGGTGAATCCTGAAATATTTTCAGCTAGTCAATTTCTTTCAAAATGTAATCATGAGGGGCTGGAGCAATAGCACAACAGGTAGGGGCATTTTGCCTTGCACACGGCCGATCCAGGTTCGATTCCCAGCATCCAATATTGTCCCGAGCACCTCCAGGAGTAATTCCTGAGTGCAGAACCAGGAGTAACCCCTGTGCATCGCCAGGTGTGATCCATAGTGCAAAAAATAAAAATAAAAAAATTATGCATCTTTGAAGCTGGGCTTACCTGGAGGCGGTGGAATGTGTTGTTTCTGTTTGTTGCATTTAGCTTCTGTATTACTTTCCAGTGTGCACCTACTGGAGTGTCGTTATTGTGGCATTTGGAGGTGTTGCACAGCTCATATGCAACTGCATGGTCCAGAACTTTCGGATCTCTACTAACTGGGCCATGATTGAGAAGGTGGTGGCTGTGGGAAGTGGGCGAGGCTGCCAGGACTTACCGAAGTATTGGGGGGTTGGGGAGGAGTACCCGTCCACACTGAGAAGACACCAGAGTTCTGTGTGAAAAACTGTGTACCTGTACCTAGAATTTTTTGTTCTGTGTCTCTGCTGAGATTATTCGTGACAAACAGAATTGGGCCTTTGGTGTAGCAGCAGCTGTGGGTAGTGGGTGCAGCTGTTGGGGCTTTAACGGGATACTCGATCCGCCTCGAACCACCCCCCCTCCCAAGGGCACCTCGGAGTTTGCAGCCAGGAAACCAGTATCTGTTAATTGGAGCCACTTGGTTCCATCTCAGAGATTTAGTTGTGGATCTAGAGAGCAGGGCCAGTGAATGCTCCTGCGGCATTTTGTAACAGGAGTGTCCCACTCCGGAAAGACCAAGTGATCAAAGGGGTGAACTTCAAAGTTACACGCTGATCTCAAGCAAGGGGCAGAGAGGCTGGAGATTGAGCTCTCTGGATCCTCAGAAGATCCCAGGTTTTCTGGCCTCTGAAATAGAGGTGCTGGGAGAGCTTCCCCTTCTCTGTCACTTCCACTTGACTCTGCGTCGGGGCCTCTGTAAGACATGACTAAACCTAGTCTCTTCCTGAGTTCTGTGAACCCTCCCTCAAATGACTGAACCAAAGGGGCATTCTTAGCTCTGACTTGACAGGATGGGTAAATGTCCCACTGGGGCTGTGACATGGAGATGCAGCATTCTGGACGGACAACACTTAGGGGGTTTGTTGTTAATTCTAGGCAGCCTGGATTTGTCCCGTCTGGTGTGGGAGAATCGGGGAGGTGCTGGCAGGACTTAAGCTGAGCTGAGCATTGGCAGAATTCCCACCAATCATAAGGAGGTCTCCCAGATAGCAGAGCCTAGAACACTGGTGTCGGGCAGGGCAGCTGGGCAGGCAAAGAGGGCGTGTCCGTAGAAGGGAACTTGGGCCTCAGCCATGAGGTCGGGCCACAACAAGACGGACATCCCAGCCCATGCTTTATTCACTTTTTTCCCAATGCTCAGGGCTTACTCCTGGAAGGGCTTGGTGTATGCGGTGCCAGGGATCAAACTGGGGTCTGCCATGTGCAAGGCAAGCCCCTTAGCCCCTGTGCTGTCTGTCTCTCCAGCCTCCATGCCTTATTCTCGAGCACAGATTGCGAATCATCAGACATTACAGGACTGATCTGTGCCGTCTTGCCTGTGATGACCTTCTGCTCCTCAACGGAGAGGCCCATAGAGAGGCAAGCAGGAAGTGAATAGCCAGGGTCCGAGCCTGCAGGCCCTGACTCTCAGAACAGTGCCCGCTCCCCACGTGGGGGGGGGGGTAGCCACTGTTGACCCAAACAGCTTGCTCCTCAAGCTGGGCCCAGGGGCAGTTTGATGCCTGGATTTCAAGCTCAGTCACACCCCCAGAAAGAAGCAGCTGGGTTTGGAGTGCACATAGAACGACGTCTGCCTTGCACGCAGTCAGGCAAGCAAAGGGTGGGTTCCGATCTGGTCGCACGTGCTGAGCATCCTCTTTGCAGCTGCCATCTCTTTGTGAATCCCCCCACTCAACAACCCCCTCCCCTACACACAATGCTGGGGGGGTCCTACCCCAACCCTCCCACGTTCTCAGAGAGACCACACTCATCCCTTCCTCAGAAACCGTTTAGTTGCTTTATAACAGAGGCAGACCTGAAAATCGCCAGGTCTCCCTCCTGGCTCTGAACAGAATTAGCAGCGATTCTAAGAGGCCAGGGCTCCTACCAATGGCAAAGGCAGAGAAGTTCCCCACCAAAGCTGAGTCTCGGCGGGGGGTTGAGGGGTTGGGCATTAAGGGTTCCATGTTCGGACAGTTCAGAGCCATGCAGGCCTCTGGCCAGGGCTGTGCCAGTGGCTGGAGCAGGGAAAGGAGGGGAGCTGCAGAGAAGAGATGAGGGGCTGGCCGGCCAGCCCAGGGAAGGTCCAAGGCACCAGGGCAGGGCGTGCAGTTGTTCCGCCTCCGTCAAGCACAGGGGTGTTCAGAGGGCCAGAGAAGAGGTCAGAACCCCGATCCCAGCCCCCGGGGGCAGTCTCAGCTCAGTGGCAGTTCTGACAGCTGGGGTGGCATGAAACCCCATTCACTCGGCAGCGGCAGCCTCCACTGGTGTCTCCTGGGCCCTAGACAGTGAGAAGAAATGGGCAGGGCAGCACGGTCAGGATCAGGGAAGCAGAGTGTCCACCCTGGGCACCCACCCTAGGCCCGCCAGGAGACCTCTGCCAACAGAGGGGCTCCATGCTCTCTCCGAATAAAGGAAGGTCAGGGATGAGCAGCTGCAGTGTGGACAGAGCTGACCCGCTCCACTGGGCCCACCAGGCTGGCCTCCTATACACGCAGGGTTCCATTGGTGGCTGGTCAGTTTGAGCAGGGCAGGGCAGGTGATCATAGAGGCTTTGCCTTTGCACTGCCAAAGCAGCCACGAGCTATGTGGAAAATAAATGCATCCACCGGTGCTCCCAACACGCCTTACTAAGGGCCACTACAATCTGGGTCCCCTGGAATCATCAGGAATGACCCCTGAGGGGCTGGAGTGACAGCACAGCGGGTAGGGTGTTTGCCTTGCATGCGGCTGACCGGGTTCGATTCCCATAGGTCCTCCAAGCACCGCCAGGAGTAATTCCTGAGTGCAGAGCCAGGAGTAAGCCCTGAGCATCGCAGGGAGTGACCCCCCCCCAAAAAAAAGGAATGACCCCTGAGCACAGCCAGGAGCAAGCCCTGAGCACAGCCAGGTGTGGCCCAAACGCCCACCACCAAAAAAAAAAAAAAAAAAAAATTCTTGACTGGGGCCAGGAGCCGGCAAGGTGGCACAGGGTTTGCATGCAGGAGACTGAGGCTCCATCCTCAGCACCACATGGTCCCCCAAGCACCGCCAGGTATACAGTCCCCAAACCAAACACGCGATGGTTCTCTCCTCACGAGCTGCAGAAGTACAGGTTGGGGGAGCGGGGAACAGGCTCCCCAACGCAGCCCAGCCCTCTGTTCTCACCTCGGGGCCCCAGCGCCGGCCCTTGGTGACCCAGCAGATCTCTGTGTGGCAAACAGTGCAGCGGATCCAGTCACAGCCGTCCTTCTTCTGCACCACGATCTGGCACTGTGGGCAGTGCATGGCCTCGCCCTGCTGCAGCATGGTCTGGAGCGGAGCAGAAGCTGGCCTGGGCGGGGGCCAGGCTGGGGCACCTGCCCAGCCAGCTCGACCCCTCGGGAGTGGCGGGATCGCTCCCCTCTGCCGCTCTGCCCAGGCCATGCTCGTCCTGCTGTTCACGGCCACTTCCCCCAAGCCCCATCGCCGGCCGGCCAGGAGGGACCATGACCGCCCGGCCCTGCCTCACCTTCAGCATTTCAGTCGTCTGCCGCGCAGCCACATCATTCTGGGCACGCAGGGCAAGGTCGTCCTGGTACTCCCTGCAGTTCATCTGCTCGTGGATGGCCTGCAGGGGGCAGCAGAACTCGAGGTGGGAAGGTTCCCCAAGGGGTGAGGAAGCCAGGAGCCAAGAGGGTCACGTATTGAACACATTTAGATGTCTTTCTAGGGGCTGGAGCGGGTAGGCACAAACAGGGCGTTTGCCTTGCACGGGGCCAACCCGGGTTCGATTCCCAGCATCCTATATGGTCCCCTGAGCACAGAGCCAGGAGTAACCCCTGTGCATCGCCAGGTGTGACGCCAAAAGCAAAAAAAAAAACAACTTTCTAAAACTTTTTGTTTTGGGGGCCACACCAGCCATGCTCAGGGGCTACTCCTGGCTCTTTTCTCAAGAATTGCTCCTGATGGTGCTCGAGGGATCATATGGGCCTGCAGTGTACAAGACAAACTCTGGCCCCAAAACTTTTTTTTTCCCCAATAAATTTACTGGGGCCAGAGTGATGGTATAGTGGGTAGGGCGCTTGCCTTGCACATAGCTGTTCTGGGTTTGATCCCTTGCAACCCATATGGTCTCCCAAGCACTTCCAGGAGTGATCCCTGCACAGAGTCAGGAGTAATTCCTGAACAGAGCTGTATGTGACCCCAAAACAAAACAAATTTAGAGAAATATGAGGGGAGAAAAAGATAAAGTAATACATGTGTAAGAGAACACGGGCTTCTCCAGAGTGGAAAAAAGCTGAGATGTTTGCAACCCATATACCATATACCCATTCTACAGAGGAGGGCGCTGAGGCCAAGGAAGGGAAGCCAAAACCATCACATAACAATATTTATCCTTTCTTTTTAATTCGAGCCACTCCCAGTAGGACCCCGGGGCAGCTCAGCAGTCGGGGCCTGATCTAAGTGGTACTAGAGAGCATGCAGTGTCCAGGGACCAAAGCCTGCATGCAAATCAAGTGCTCAGCCCACCGAGTGGTCTACAGCCCTGATCGGTTCATGGGTTTTTTTTCTTCTTTTTGGGTCACACCCTGTGATGCTCAGGGGTTACTCCTGGCTCTACACTCAGGAATAACTCCTGGCAGTGCTTGGGGGACCATATAGGATGCCAGGAATTGAACCTGGGTCAGCCGCATGCAAGGCAGATGCCCTACCCAGTGTACTATCGCTCTGGCCTCTCGTCCATGTTTAAAGGTGGGCAGGGAAATCCCTTCCCTCCTGTCTCCTGGCGGGTTCTCCTGGGGTTGCAAGTCTATGCATGAAGACTGGGCTGGCTGAGGCTGTGACCAGCTCAGCCACAGGCCTGCTGGAGACCAGCCTCTCTCAAGAAGAGAGGTAAGATGCTGGGGGCAGGGGTTGGGCCACAATACAGCATCATTCCAGAGCAGGGCTGACCGGCTGGGGCCAGCATGGGGACGGGTCTGTGATGGGAATTGGCACCCACGGGCCAGGGTAGGGCCCGGCAAGGCGGAGGCTGGATGTGCCGCCGGGAATGGGGCCAGGTTCAGTGCAGGGTCAGGCTCCCCCCGACGCGCAGCGGAGTCTCGGCAGTCAGGCTAGAGCTCCCCGTCCCGGGTCTCCACACCCACCTGGCACAGCAGGCAGTTGGTGTGGAAGCACACTGGGCAGGTGAACTCGTTGACGTCGTCCTCAAAGATGCACCAGCCCTTGCAGTCGGGGGTTTTGCAGTGGTAGCTGCAGGAACTGCGCTTCTCAGCGATGGAGACGCTCAGGTCCAGGAACCGCTGGTAGTCTTCGGGGCTCAGCAGCTGCCGCCACAGCACAGCGGTCATGAGTGCAGCCACCACAGCCACCAACCCGTGAACCTGCCCAAGCCACAGCCTCTTTCCTTCTTTCTCTTACTTCTGGGAGGGGGACATACCTCTCCCGCCCCTTAAACCCAGGGCCTCGCATGGGTTCTACCAGTTGACTACATCCCTAGCTCTGAAAACCTCATTTAAGAGGACGGGGGGGGGGGGGGGGGGGGTGCAGAGTGGGACTCGCTCACACCTAGCAGGTGTTGGGCCGAGGGGGGGGACCCCAGCAGCACTTAAGCGCCCGGTCGTTTTCATTCTCACTGACCCCCCAAGCACTGCAGCAGGGCATGCGGCCCCACACACCAACAAGCACGAGCAGCTGCTGGGTCACCCCAACTACCACCAAGGAAGGAGCAGGGGGAAAATAGAAACAACAAAAATCAGACGCCGAGAGTGGGTGGGACGGCTGCCCCAGCGGGAGTGTTTAATGGGGGCGATGTCCTAGGGTCAGTGCATTTGATACATTTGGTATATGTCAGTCCTCTTAAAACTGGCTGCCACAGGGGCCCGGGAGACGCTCAACAGGCTGGAGCAGAGACTGCACGCAGGAGAACCAGGTTTGGCCCCACATGTCCCCCCAGCATTGCAGGGAGGACCCCAATCCCCAATCACTGCACACATGTCGGGTGCACGCAAGCCCAGGGCTTCACCTTCTGGGCCTCTGACCTGAGGTTACCTGAGCCAGCTGACCCCAGAGACCCCACCTTTGTGCTTTTTGTTCTAGGGCCACATCCAGCAGTGATCACTCCTTGAAGGGTTTGGGGTGGGGATCAAACCCAGGCTGGCTTTATGGGGCTGTACTCCTCCCCCCGCCTCCAGAGCCCCACCGTAATTTTGTTTTAAGGGCCCATCCAGTGATGCTCAGGACTTACTCCCGGCTCGGTGCTCCGGGATCGTTCCTGGAGATCTCCGGGGACCATGTGGGATGCTGAGGATCGAACCCAGGTTGGCCGTGTGCGAGGCCAGTGCCCTCCTGCTCTACCATCTCTCTGGCCCCGGAGCCCCCACTGTAGAACACTTCACTATCCTCCCTTCACCGGCCACTTCTCCATACGCCTGTCCTACTCACTGCCCGGACCCCACGGTCCCCCGGCCAGCCCAGGGCCCTCCCTCAGGCCTTACCGCACGGCCAGCCCAGGGCCCTTCCTCAGGCCTTACCGCACGGATCTCTCTGTCCAGCAGCTTGCCCGAGCACGAGTAGGTATTGTCAATGAAGGGGCAGGAGACCTCCGCCTCCTGGCTGTTGCGGATGGTGCCCTGCAGACACTCCCTGGGGAGCAGTGGGGTGGGCTGGAGGTCAGGCCAAGCTGAGCCCCAGACCCTGCGCTGGTGAGACCCTGCCCCCCTCCCCTGGTAGGACCCGACCTCAGGAGCCTCTGTCTCTGAACCTCCTGCCACCCACCTCACTAGAGCCAGTCTACACCTCAGCCCACCCCAACTGCTCACGGTGCCCAGGTCCCTCGGGGGGGCTGCAGGCACCATCTCCTGAGCTCCCCGTGTCCATTCACAACACAGCCACCATGTCCTTCCCGTGACCTCTCACCCTGACTGTCCAGCGCAAGCCTGAACCCTCACATGCAGAAACCCAGTGACAGCCCCTACCCTACCCCCATCCATCCCTCCCTGTGCTCCCACAGACCCAGTCAGTTCAAGGGCTGTACCCCTCGGAGCTGCCCAGCCTTCTGGGTCATTAGCACCCGCCTCCCGCTCCAAGGGGCAATTCCACTGACCCTCCTGTTCGCTCCACCCACAGGTCTACAAGTCTCTGGCCAGGAGCTACCCAGAACGGGAGGAGCTTAAGGGAGGGGCAGGAGTTCCGGAGGAGGTGGGGGGCGGAGCTCCGGGAAAGGTGTGGGGGTCCGCGAGCTCAGGGGCGTGCTGGGGGGGGGGGTGCTCCACGGAGGCGGGGCAGCCCCAGGTCCCGCTCGCACCTGCAGAAGGCGTGCAGACACTCGCGCAGCACCACCGCCTCGCCGGGCGCCAGCGCCGCGTAGCACACGGGGCACTCGCTGGGCTCCGTGCTCAGCACCAGGCTCCGCTGGTCCAGCTGCACGTGCTGCAGGTAGTTCCCCTCCTGCTGCTGCTGCTTCCGCTGGGCAGACGGGGCGGGTCGCGGGGAGGGGCAGGAAGGGTCAGGCTCTCGGGGGGCGGGTGGGGCAGGAGGGGGGTAGGGCTGAGCACAGGTCTGGGGTGCCAAGAACCCCCAAATGGAATGGGGCTCTGGGCACTGGGCAGGAGCAGGAATCCTGCGGGAGGGGGTGGGGATGGGGCTGCCACCGCCACCAGGGTCAGGCCGGACAAGGCGTCGGGGGCCACATCCCTGGGGTCAGGGAAGGAAGGCAGAGAAGGATGCGGATGACTGTTGGGTGCAGAGCAGGGGCGAGGGGGTTAGGCTAGCAGACAGGCGGGGTCTGGCCAGGGTGGTAGAGGGGACCAGAAACGGGGCCTGGCCAATCCAGACAGAGAGAAGGCAACCCCCGGGGCTGAGTCGGGGTGGGCCACGGCAAGAAGAGATTTTGGGGTGGGGGGAGGGCCGGGAAGAGCAGAAGCCAGACCAGAGAGAGAGGAGTGGGGTGGCAGATGGGGGCACGGTCGGGGCCACCAGTAGTGCGGGGTCCCCCGTGGCACTGGAGGGGAGACACAGTGTAAGTCAGAGCAAGGGGGCAGAGTCTCAGCGACAGGAGGAGGAGCTCCTGGGGAGGGCGGGTCACAGTCAAGCGCGGCGGCGGCCAGCCGTGGTCAGCAGAGAGCAGCGACGGGGCGGGCAGGCGCCTCCCTCCTGGCCTAGGCCTCCTCCCCGGGCCAGTCCGCGGCTGCGCCCGCGGCGCCCACCTGCTGGTACTGGCGCAGCGCCTCCTCCTCGCCCGCCAGGCGCAGCCGCTCCTCCTCGTCGGGCTGGTGTGAGGCCGGGACCTGGTAGGCCTCGGGCCGGGCTCGGCAGCACATGGCACAGCCCGGCCGCGTGGGCTTGTTGATGAAGGTGCAGCCCGGGCACTGCCAGCCCACCTGGAGGCAGAGGGGCGGTGAGACGACAGGCGGGGGCGGTGGGTCCGGAGGGGCCCCCGCGGGGACGGATGCACGCGGGGGTCTTACCGGGGCAGGCTCGGGCGCCGGGTCCGGCTGAACGCGGGCCGGTTCCTGCACAGAGCCGGGCTTCGGGGGTGCCGCCGCCTCCAGGGGGCCCCGCGACTGCAGCGTGAGGTCCTTAAAGCCCAGATCTGGGAAGGGACCGAAGGTGAGGGTGGTCCCCGCCTTGTCCTTGTCCACGCCCTGCCCAGGTACCCTCAGCCCAGCCCTGACCCCTCCACCCCCACCTCCCCTCCTGACAGGCCTCCACTGGGTCCTGCCAGTGTCCAGGGCCTGGCTAAGTCCCGACTCCCTCCAAGCTGGATCCTGTGTCTGCGCCACAGACAGCTCATGGGGCTGCATGCGTGGCTCAGGGTTTGCCCCCTGCTCTACATGGCCCTCTGGCAGGGCAGTGACCCCCGACCATCACTGGGTGTGGCCCAGAAACCCAAAATAGGACCCCAGGGAGCCTAAGCAAGGTAGGGAGCTTGCCTTACACACAGCCAACCCCAGCACCCATGTGGTCCCCTGAGCCCCCCCAGGAGTGCCCCCCGAGTGCAGAACCAGGACTAAACCCGAGCCTTGTTGGGCGTGGTCCAAAAACAAACCTCAAAAAAAAAACAAAAATAGGATCTCAAGATCTAGAGGACACAAGGCAGGGTTTGAACCCACCCACAGCAAACAACGCGAAAAAAGAAAAAGGAACTCAAGTCTCTAAGGGCCTGTCAGGGCAGACAGGACCCAAAGGCTCTGGGGGCCTGTGACGGGCTCTGCTATAACACCGTGAGGGCCGGGAGCACCCCGACAAGAGCTAATAACTGGGCGTTGCACCAGACCCGGCGGTGCTCACGATACTATGTGAGGGACAGGGGCTGGTTTTATATGCATATAAATGTTGATTATATAAGTATATAATTATATGTAAAATAAAATTATAATTTATATGCATGTAAATCTGATTTATATGCATATAGCTTGTATACATTTTTATATCCATATAAAATTTTTTACCCTGAACTGTTTTGAGAGTAATTTGCAAGCATGATGTCCCACTCATAAACGAGTATATCTATTTCCTTAAAAATTGGGGGCCATTTTATTACATTACTTCATACAGCTATCACATTTAGGAAATTGAAACTATTAGGTCTTGGGGCAGAAGAGATAGTAGCAATGTCTGTCTGCTGTCCTCCTGTTGTTCATCGATTTGCTCGAGTGGGCACCAGTAACATCTCCATTGTGAGACTTTTTGTTACTGTTTTTGGCATATTGAATACGCCATGGGGAGCTTGCCAGGCTCTGCCATGCCGGCGGGATACTCTCGGTAGTTTACTGGGCTCTCCGAAAGGGACGGACGGAGGAACTGAACCTGGGTTGACCACGTGCAAGGCAAACGCCCTACCTGCTGTGCTATGGCTCCAGCCCTGCCATTGCTCCAGCCCAGAAGAGATAGTACAGTGGATTAATGTATTTGCCTTACACACGGCTAACCCAAGTTTGATCCCTGGGTTGCCCACATACCCGCCAGCGGTGATGCCTGAGCAGAGTCAGGAGTGAACCCTGAGCACCAATTGGTATGATCAAAAAAAAAAAAAGTTCAAATTTTAGACAAATTCTCAGTGTTTCCTCAAGTGAGCATAACCACCTCCCTGGGGTCACTAGAAGGATCCCAGGGGGTACAGTAGCCTTGAGTGCAACTGTAAGGGAAACTTTTCTGTTAGCTTTTTCATTTTTTGTTTGAGGGCCACACCCAGCAGTGCTCAGGGACCACTCCCAGTGGGCTTGGGGGACCATATGGGAATCCGGGGATTGAACCCAGGTAATCTGCATGCAAGGTAAGCGCCTACCCACAGTACTATCACTCTGACCCTGCTTATTGGCTTTAAAGAAGGTAGATCTCCAGGAGGCAACAGATGATTTGAGGTGGCTTTTTTTTTTTTGAATGGGGGTGGCAGTCCACTTTGGGGCCGGTGTCCTCACTGCCTTGATCAGGCCATCAGGTACTGGTTTCGAGAACTAAGCGCAGAGACAGGAAGAGCGTGTGCAGCATCTCCCCAGCTCACAAACTGACCCGGCTCCTGGCTCCCGCTGTTCTGCAAAGGCTTCCCTATGCCTTGTCATGCCTGGCAATGCCCTCTGGTGGCCGACCTGACCGCGTGCCCAGGGACTCAGAGGGTTTGTCCCACTGCCTCGGATGCGAGGTCGGAGCGGTCCTCACCCGCTAGCATGCGCAGCTGCCGCTCCCGCTGCAGTTCCTGGGGGTTGAGGGAGGTGTTGCGGGCCGACAGCAGGTAGAGGTAGGCGCTGTCCCCATTCTGCCGCACCCCGTGGGAGCGCAGGGTCTCCTGGTCGCGGGCCAGCCGCTGGCCAATCACCCACTGCTGCAGCGTTGGCGGGAAGCCGTAGTCCAGGAAGACCTGTCCGGGCACAGAGAGAGGGCGCGAGGAGAGGGGGCATGGGGCAGGGGGCCGCCGGGGCGGAGAGAGGACGCGGGGCGGGGGCAGAGAGGAAGGGCCTCACTCACCATGTCCTTGAGGGAGGCCACGGTCATGTCAGGGCGCACCGTGAGCCAGATGGTGACGGTGTACATCTGGGCGTCCTCCACGCTCACCCACAGCCTGCGAGGAGGGCAGGGGCTGGGACACGCATGCGTGCACGCGCCTAACCCCACACCCCCCAGTCTAGGGCCCGGGTTCTCCCTCAGTCCTACACCACCCCACTCAGCGCGCCCAGGGGCTGTACCCTGCTCTAGGAGTAAAGTCCACTCCCCATCCCCAGGGGGCACACCAGGAAAGGGGGGAAAGGAGGGAAGGGAAGGGTGGGAGACCCCGTGTGGTTTCTTAAGGAAAAAAAACAATTCTAAAATGCACCAATAAAATCACGGAAATCTGAAACAGTATAAGGAGATTTTTAGAGGAATTATTGATTTTTTTTTTTGGTGAGATCCCTGTATGGAGATGACTTTTTTAAAGGCCTGTCAAAGTATTTACAAAGAAAATGCACCAAATATTTTTCTTAAAATTGTCTAGAAAAATACCCTCAAATTTACTCAAGGCAAATTTTTTTTTTCAATTTTTTGTTTTGTTTTTGGCCACACCCTGGGCGGTGCTCAGGAGTCACTCCTGGTTCTGCACTCAGGAATTACTCCTCGTGGTGCTTGGGGGACCATATGGGATGCCAGGGATTGAACCTGGGTCAGCTGCATACAAGGCAAGGGCCCTACCCGCTGTACTATCACTCTGGCCCAAGGTTAATGATTTTAATAGACACAGCACTTGATGATATTCAGGAAAATACGGAAATGTAAAACTCCAAAAGAATACAAGGCACAATTGCTGGGCCTAATGCAGACTGGAAGAAAATTAAACAGAAAGTAAAAGAAATTCCTTTTGGTTTATTTGGTTTATTTTTTTTCAAGTTTGGTTATGAGGCCACACCCAGCAGTGGTCTACTGTTGGTTCTGAGGCCAAGGGCCGTCTCCAAGATCCACGGAGAGTCTCTTCACCCCAAAAGGAACTACATTTTTTTTTAATTTTTGCTTTTTGGGTCACACCTGGCGATGCGCAGGGGTTACTCCTGGCTCGGCACTCAGGAATTACCCCTGGCGGTGCTCAGGGGACCACATGGGATGCCGGGAATAGAACCCGGGTCAGCTGCGTGCAAGGCAAATGCCCTACCCGCTGTGCTATCACTCCAGCCCCAGGAACTACATCTTAAACCCCAAAACATCCTTCAAGCCAGGGAGTCAGGAAAAGTGGGAGATGATTGTGTTAAGTTCCAATTTTTCTTACCAAGAAGTCTGCAGGTCTTTATATTTTTTGTTTGCTTGGATTTTGGAGTCACACCCTTGAGACTTTGGAGTCACACCCTGCAGTGCTCAGGGATTACTCCTGGCTCAGTGCTCAGGGGGCCAGATAGTACAATGGATAGGGAGTTTGCCTTGCATGAGGCCAACCCAGATTCAATCCCTGGCATCCTGTAAGGTTCTCCCAAGCACCACTAGAAGTGATTCCTGAGTGCAGAGCCAGGATTAGCCCTGAGCATTTCTGGATGTGCCCTCCAAAACAACAACGGAAAAGAAAACATAGGGAGAAATCTGAATAATCTTGGAGCTGGCGAAATAGTACAGCAGGTAAGGTCTATATCCTTGGCCAACCCAGGTTTGATTCCCAGCAACACATACAGCCTCCATGTGGCCCAAAAAACAGAAGTGGCAGGTGTGAGGCCGAGTTCTGGCCCTAGCACAGGAGGGGAAAAAAAAAAAACGACATAAGACAAAGAAAACAAAAAAAGATGTTGCTGCAACTGTGAAACTGGAAGCTTTCATAGACAGCTGGGTAGGGTGGAAATAATCATGAAGCAGTTCTGAAAAAATAATCTGGCAGTTCCTGGAAATGTTAAGCATATGTTACCATCTGCTTTTGGTAACCTATAACCTACTCCATTCCTAGTTCCATAATCAGGCAACTCCCAAGCACCATCAGCGAGGCCTGTCTCCAGCACCACAGGCGCTGGTACTGAACCACGCAGCCTGGCTGGCCACGGATCACTGGGTGGGGCCCCCTGAGCCCCCTAAGAGCTGGAGAAATCCCTCCCTCTCCAAAATAAATGAGTGCATTAAAAAGAATGACCGTTCTCGGGCTGGAAATACTGGGCTAAATGGTAAAGCACAAACTTTGCATGTATCAGGGCCTGGGTTTCATCCCCTGCACCTCAAAAAAAAAAATTCCCCGAGAATTCCTATTGCATAGGCAAGAATCCACTGGGCCTCTGGGTTTTGGGGGGGCCCTATGTTCCGGGCAGCCAGCTGGCCTCACCTGATGTCCTGAGTCGGGAGAACTTCCGGCTTGAGCTGCACCGTCAGAGGCACCCGCTGCTCGGCCAGCCACATGGCACAGCCCATGGCCGCCTGCTCGTCCCCTCCAGCCACCGCTCGGGCGAGCCGCAGGGCCATCTCCTCAGCTGAAACCCAGCACAGGGGGTGTTTCTCAGAAGCTGGGGTGGAGCGGGCGAGGGACAACGTGAAGTTCCTTTCTGGCTCCCTAATGAACTCCTATACAGCCGTCAGCACCCAGTTTAAAAGCTCCTTTTCTCTGGGAAGCCTCTATCACACACTCTCTCCCCCTAGCTTGACGCCCCTCCTTGTCCAGGCTTTTCCTTTATACACTCAGGGCTCCCCCATACTTCCATCCACTTACCTGCTAAGCTTTTATTGAGTTCAGACTGTGTCCCAGTCCCTGTCTCAGAAATTGGGCTTGAGCAGTAAATCAATGCACAGAGTCCCTTGCCTCAAGCCCAGCCCAGCCCAGCCCACCCCACCCCACTTGGGAAGAGAGAAAGTGAGCAAAATGGAGAGAAAAAAAATTAGACTGTGATCCATCCCATCAAGAAATTCAGGGAAGGCCTACAAGTGGAGGCAATACTGAAGCTGAGACGTGTCAAGACCCAGGCGAGAGCGAGTGTTCCAGGCGGAAGGGAGCACAGGGGCCAGAAAGGCTTGCATTAGAGGAAGTCAGGGAGAGGGCGCCAAGAACCCAAGTGCATGCTTGGGATGTGGGAACCCCAGGGTTCAATCCCCTGGGACCATATGGTTCCTGAGCAGAGTCACATATAGCACCATGAGCACTACCGGGGTGACTCCCCCCAAAAAGGGGAGGGAAGTAAAAGAAAAAAAAGGAAAGCAGGAAAGGAAGGAAGGAAAGAAGGAAGGAGGGAGAAGGGAAGAAGGGAGGAAGGGAGGGAGGGAGGGAGGGAGGGAGGGAGGGAGGGAGGGAGGGAGGAAGGAAGGAAGGAAGGGAGGGAGGGAGGGAGGGAGGGAGGGAGGGAGAAACTAAAATAGAACAGAAAGAAGCATCCTGAACAGTGGAGGTCTGAGAACTCAGTGGGACCCTGCCCTCCACCCATGAGCTCTGACTTGGTTCTAAGCACGAAGGGGGCACAAGGTGGGGTCCAACCAGCGCTCTGACATGACCTCACTAATGTTCCACTAAGCTCCTGGGAGGGTAAAAAAGGGAGGCGACCTCGGCCTCCCCGCCCGCCAGCCTGGAGGTGGGGTATCATCCTTTTCCAGCCCTGACCCCACCTTCTCCCAGAGGAGGAGAATGAATGAATGAATGAATACAAGAATGAATACAAGACTCCTGGGACTGAAAGCAAAGGAAAGCCCCCCAGCAAGGAAACGCTGGGACCGAGGCAGAAAGGCACTAACCCCTCCCCCCCCCAGGACCGCGCACTTTTCGCACCGGACAGTCACCCGCCCCGCCGCCGCGGTCACCTCGCAGCACGCACCTTTCTTGGTCTTCTCGTCCATCCGGCTCCCATCCCCTCCCCCCGGACAGGGGCCGCAGCTCGGAGAAACGCTCCTCTGGGGTCACCTGGGAAGGGACGGCGACCCCGGGGAGCTCAGCCCGAGCCCGCTGCGCGCCGGGGTGTCCACGGGCAGCAGCCGGGGCATCACACGCGAGGGCAGCGGGACGAGCACCAGCCCCCGACAAGTGGGTGGACGCGCGGGGGAGCCGAGGCCAGCCCGCAAAGGGCTACGGAAGAAACGGGACGGGGCCCGGAGAGCCGCCCCACGGGCCCCCCGCGCGGGGCAGTGCCCGAACGCCGCGGTCCCGGCCCCTCCGCCTCTTACCCGCAGCCCCGGTCAGTGCCCAGAGGGGAGCGGTTGGGGACGGAGAAAGTGAAAGTGGCCGCCCCGGAAGTGGGCAAGCTTGTCGCCGGATACTGCGCCCGCCCCCACGACCCATCAGGCCCAGGCGATCCCGCACCGCCCTGGGGTCGCGGCGGACCCGGGGGCACCCCACCTCAAATGCCCGCAGCAAGCTGACCTGGATTCCTCGACCCTCCAGCACGAGCCCGGCGCCGAGCCGCGGGACTTAGAAGGAGAGTGGGCGGGCACTGGCAGGGATTGGGCGAGGATTGGTCCGCTGTGAGGAGGACTGGGCGGGGATTGGCCCGCGTTGGGGCGGGGAGTGGGCGGGGATTGGTCCGCATTGAGGAGAACTGGGGAGAATTGGTTCCCGGTGAGGAGGACTGGGAGGGGATTGGTCCGTGTACGGGGGAGTGGGTGGGCGTTGATACGCGTTTGGGAGAGTGGGCGGGGATTAGTCTGCGTGGTGGCGGGGACTTGGCGGGGATTGGTCCGCGCTCGGGAGAGTGGGCGGGGATTGGTCCGCGTTGGGGCGGAGCCTACCCGTGCTTGCCTAGGCGGAGGAAAGGTCGCGCTGTTTATGACCTATCCGAGGCCACTCGAGCAGATTTGATTCTGAACGCCACCTTAGCTCTTTAACTATATCGAATCTGCTGCTTAGAACCTTTTTGCTTTTTCAAGTTTTCAGGGAATTAATTTTTTTAATCCATATTTTGAATTTTTAATTTAGGTTATTGTATTTTTAGAAGTTCCACTAGGTGTCGATGTACCTGTTTATCTGTTGAATTTTGGGCCCCAAAATTCACTTGGCGGTTGTCGGAGGCTGCTCACAGCTTGTTGTTCAGGGGTGGCTCCTGGCGGTGTGGGAGGACTGCTCCAACCAGGCCTGTATGCAGAGCATGCACTCCAACCCTCCCAGCCTCTATTGCACTTGATATGATTTCCTATACTTTGGCAGTATTTTCAAGGGTTTTTTGTTTGTTTTGGTTTTGGGTTTTTTTTTTTGGACCACACCTGGGGGTGCACAGAACTGACTCCTGGCTCTGCACTCAAGGATCATACCGGGCAGGGCTCAAGAAACAAAATGGGGTGCCAGGGATGGACCAGTGTCAGATGGACCAGGGTTAGCTGCCTGCACACCTACCAGCTGTACTATCTCTCCAGCCCTCATTTTTTAAAAATTTTTATTACACATATGCCTTTTTTGTATTATAATCTAGCACAGCGGGTAGGGCATTTGCCTTGCATGCGGCCGCCCTGGGTTCAATTCCTCCGTCTGTCCCTCTTGGAGAGCCTGGCAAGCTACCGAGAGTATCCCACCCACATGGTAGAACCTGGCAAGCTCCCCGTGGCATATTCGATATGCCAAAAACAGTAACAAGAAGTCTCACAATGGAGACGTTACTGGTGCCCACACAAGCAAATCAATGAACAACGGGATGACGGTGCTACAGTGCTAGTCTGTATCTGACAATATTGCTTCTGAAGTTTCAGTGTGTTTCTGCTGGCCTCTATTGGTGTTGCCTTCTTTTCTTCTTGCTGACCTGCCAATTTATGACCTCCCTTCAGATCTAAGGTCACCTGCACAAATCTGTACTTGGGAGACAAACATATTCTTTGGGAGGAGGTCACTCAGAGATCCGTGGGGGTTACTCTGTGCTCTGTGCTTCTGAGTCAATCCCAGTGATGCCAGGGATCAAACCCAGCCCTCTGTATGCTATATCTGTCCCCGATATATTCTCTCTTATGTTCTAGTCTTAGCTTTGACTATTCCAGGCATTCTCCTTGGTTATCTCTCAGGCCAGTGAGCACAGCATTTCATCCAGGGTTTAGAAATGCATTCTACCATCTGTGTGGACCTGGTCTCAGTTTCCCTTTCTGTACAGTAGTGCTCATGGTGGTCCTTGAGAATCTGTACACATTACCACTCCAATTTGTGTGTTAAAACACTGACCTTGGGGAAAGATAGTATAGGGGCTATGTCACTTGCCTAGCACATGGCTGACCCAGGTTTGATACCCAGAGCACAGAGCCAGGAGTAAATCCTGAATATTTGTGGGTGTTGAGGAAAGAAGGAAGGGAAGGAGGGAGGGAGGGAGAAAGGAAGGAAAGAAGGAACGAACGAACAAATGAACTTGCTAGCCTAGAAATAGCAAGTATGGCACCAGGGTCCCATTCCAGACATCCCGACTACAGAGCGAGCTCGAAGCCAGAATCCTCAGCATGACAGTGTCACTCTCCTGCTTCCTCTGCTGGAAGCACTCTCAGCTGTGACACAGGGGATTGCTGTGGCCATTGTGGCAGCTACCAATTGCCCGGAACAATGGGTAAAAAGATGCTTGAGCCTGGGGAGGTAGAGTCCTTGCTAAGTGCTCTGAGAGCTGATCCATGACCCCAGAAGCCTCAAGTCTGGTTTGGGAGCAAAGAAAACGAGTAAGAGGTGGACAGGAAAGGATAGATACAAGAGATGCCCAGGACAAAGGGAAGAATTTGTTATTCCTTTATTAGGCACAAAGTAAAAAATATGTACTTGTGGCATCCAAAACCCAGTGTAGTGGCATCTTGGATCCTAAGTGTCCCCACAAAAGAGCTTAGAGCTTCCCAGAGAGCTTGGGGGAGAGCGCTGTCTGAATTTGGCCCCCAAATTCTAGTGCTAAGGTCAGGTTTCATGGAGATGAACAAACCATATCCCCCCTTGCAAACGCACTCCTTGAGTCAGATGAGGACCAGCCTCAGAGTTTGCATCCTTCCCTCCTTCCCCCGACACCCCCATCCCCAGTCCAAATGCTTGCTCTGTCAGGCCTGGATAGAGAATCCCTTGACCAAAAGGACGGAACTACTGGGAGCCCAACTCCCAGCATGCCCTGGGCTCTGAAGTCTACGCTGCAGCGGGGAGGCGTTGGCACGTTTGGCACAGGGTTGCTTCCCTTTCTCAGAAAAGGCACAAGATACAAAGGCAGCTGGGTGCTTGAGAGGGCCTGTCCCGAGGCAGAGGCAGCCACAACAGAGGTGACCAGTACAGGCAGATGTGGACACCCGTTATTCAGTGTGGACACTGACCCGTGACTATGGAAAAGTGGTGTCAGCTCAAGAAAAGGGTTGTCCCCTGTTGCTTGGGCAAATCTGTCACTCTTGCTCATGGCTGTATTCCCAGCACTTAGGGAAAGGCCTGACCTGGGAGCTGCCAGGTGTGGCATACACGGGCCCTGGGCACAGCTATGAGAACAGCAGAGGGCGCTCCGTTCTCCCTCCGCGAAGGCACAGAAGGTTCGGCTCGGTTCAAAGAGGAGGGAGAAAGCTCAGAGACACCCCACACTCAACCCCCAGTTGGCATCTGAGAGTCCCGAGGCTGGGCCTAGCCATAGAGACCCACTTCTCTTTCTTCCGCTTCCTCGGCCTCCAGCCCCAGTCCATGGGGGACCACCTGGTCAGCCTCCCAGAGGTGGGCTCGAGACGGGACCGAGGGGACGGGGTCCTCCCGTAGCCAGGGGTGCAGCAGGATGCCCGAGGCGCTGAGCCGCTCAGATGGCTCCTTCCGAAGGAGGCAGCGGACCAGGCAGCGAGCAGGGGCTGAGAGGCCCTCGGGTAGGGCGAAGGCCCCGCGACGTATCTTGCCAAAGAGCAGGGCTGGCTCTGTGTCCTGGAAGGGGTAGTGGCCAGCCAGCATGGTGAAGAGCGCCACACCCAGGCTCCAGACATCCGCCGCCTTGCCAGAGTACGATGCCCGGGAGCTGAGGATCTCAGGACCCACGTAGGCCGGGCACGCGTGCTTGTCCCATAGAGAGTCATCCGGGCCCGTCAGCACAAAGGCATCTTCCAGGTTCTCCAGCACCAGCTGCGTCCTGAGACAGGGAGAAAACACGGGGAGCGGGGTGTGAGCTCCTTGCGGGATGCCCCCCACCACCACCATCACCCCCATACTATCACCCTTGACTGCTGGCACCCACTTCCCAGAGACACGAGCCAGCCCTGGGAGACTGGATGCCGGATCCCTCTTACAGATGAGGCTCAGAGAGGCTAAATCGTTTCTCAAGGCCACAGAGCAACTGAATATGTATATAATGCTGAAAGGAACATGCTTCCTGACAGGCCCTCTGGAGGGGGTGTAGGGAGCAGACTCAGTGTCTCCTAAGGCAGGGACTAACTTAGGGTCCAGGCTGTTAGGGACTAGAGAGAAATGGCTTGGCAGAAACCCAGCCTTAAAAGTTTACCAATGGGGGGGCTGGATTGATAGCACAGTGGGTAGGGCATTTGCCTTGCATGTGGCCGACCCGGGTTCGATTTCCGGCATCCCATGTGGTCCCCCAAGCACTGCCAAGAGTTATTCCTGAGTGCATGAGTCAGGAATAACCCCTATGCATTGCCAGGTGTCACTCAAAAAGCAAATAAATAAATAAAAAAGTTTACCAGTGGAGCTGGAGTAATAATAGTACAGTGGGTAGGGAGCTTGCCGTGCACAAGGCCAACCCAGATTGGATCCCCAGCACCCCATAGGGTCCCCTGAGCCAGCCAGGAGTGGTCCCCTGAGTGCACAGAGCAGGAGTAAGCCCCTGAGCACCCCTGGGTATGCCCTCCTCCCCCAAAAAAATATTTACCCCCTAATACAGTCAGTTCCATCTGTTTTGTCGGTTACCCGGGGCCCTGGAATTCCGGAAAAATTTTAACAATCTGGCCCTTCCCTGAACCAGTGGGGAAACTGAAGTCCAGAGAGCCTGGGTCCACCCTGCTACAGTCCAGCCCAGCCTGGCCACGCCCCTCTCAAGCCCAGTGATTTAGGAGCCGGACTCCTGGGTCACTTCAGGCTCTGCATTCCGCTGACCCGACCAGCCTGAGCCCTGGGTGGCACGGGGCGCTGCAGGTAAGGCTCCATTCACTCTGCCCCCACCCACCCCACCCCTACCCAGCCTCCAGGGGCTCCCCACTGCGCCCCTGGCCAGTCGGTGGCCCCAGCCCAGGCCTCCCGGGTTGGGGCACGCTCTGCACCCCCTGCGCCTCCAGGTCCCACTCACCGCTCGGCGTCGGCGAAGACGAAGCGCCGCAGCTTGAGGTCGCGCAGGACCAGCCGGTGCTGGTGGCAGTGCGCCAGGGTGGCGGCCATCTGGCGGAAGAGCGCGGCGGCCTCGGGCTCGGGCAGGCGGCGGCGCCGGCGCACCAGGCTGTGCAGGTCCCCGTGCGGCCGCGGGAAGAAGGCGTAGAGGTGCCGCGCGCCCGCCACCAG